AAGGTGTGGGAACTATCCTCGGGTATACTCAAATCAAAATAGAATTGGGAATCATGCCAATGAGGAAACGTAAATACAGATACTATGCAGTTTCAGAACAGATAATGGCTAAATAGTTCCAGACAACATGGAGAAGCACACATAAACACAAACACCCATAAACCATCACAAATCAGACTGAGAATAATTTAATCATGCAGACAAATATTTCGCATACTGTCCACCATAGAAGGATATAAATAGACTATATACAAACCGTGTTACCAGAGCTTCAGCTTTTACCATGACAGTCCTTTCTTTTTCTTTTCATTTAGTGAAAATAAACAGATTTAAATTAATATAAAAATAGCAAGTACGTGTTTTTACATTGAAGAAAGGTGATACTGATTATGAATGTTTTACAGTTCAAATAAAGCCAATTTGCACTTGAATGTAACAAAGAGGAAAAATAACCTTCATTTTTAAATGCTTGTCTTGCACAAGAAGCAATTGCAAGAATATGGTCAAAAAGCAGCGGAACTGGCCCATCAGGGTCGTCTGCTGCCAAAAATGGAAGTGGTAGGAAAATTTTCCCCATAGGGTTTGCCCATGGTACCCTTTTAGAGTCACCTCCAGCATGAAGCAATAGTATGTGTTTTTTTTCCATAAACCTAACCATTGGCTCTGTAGAATCTGCCCTATCAGACTGTTCATGCGGCACACTTGATCCAGAACTGTCATTCTCTGTTGTTTCCACCTGTTGATCACAGATATCTTATCAAGCCTGGCAGTAAACTAGTTCACCAATAGTAATGTTGATTATCAAGTAACGCACTAATGCTGCATCGTGAAGATAACCATAACAACCAACATAAAAAAATATTCAACTCAAGAGAAATATACACACAGCGAAGAACACCACAGCATCCCCACTTTGTCAAATGCATACCAAAACAAGAACGGAAGATGATGTTAATCTTTCTTGCGACAAAATCATATTAGTTTAAGTGAATCACAATTGGAGTATAATTAAATGGTACTTCCGTCGTCCTCCTTCCTTTTCTTTTATGTAAATTATATCATGAAAAACACTAGTAAACGGATGAAACTCCTTGAAAACCCCTAGAATAAAACTCCATAAAGAGGGGTTAAAGAACATTCTATCTCAAAAGCAATAGACTCGAGGAAAATTCATCCTTAAAGATTCACGATTTCTGCTCCTACAAAACATTCCAAACAATAGCAATCATCTGCTCATCCTAGATGGACTTAGAAGCATATTCTTTTTTCTTTTTTCTAATAGTGACAACCTTACCAGACAATTTTGGCTCATATATCCATCTTTTATGTTTCACAGGAGTAAATATTACACTCTTATGCTAACACACAAATTATGAGGTATATTCATTTCATAAAATTCTCTCCTAAATCCCTGATAAGACTTTCCAAATTATTCCCAAGAAAATTATCAGCATTAAACAACAATTATAGAACAAAATCAGCAGTGCATTACATTAAAGTAATTTTACCTGTTCGCCAAGATGGAGACCGAGAGACTGATAATGTCTGCCGAGGGCAAAAATGGCATTGAGAGTAGCAGCACCGGAGCCGATCCGCTTAGCATCGGGATCAGGCACAGCTAACGTGATAGTAGAGCTAGCGATCCGGCCCATACGCTTGGCTCGGTTAAGCTGCCATTCATATAACTGGGCTTGTTCAGGGCTAGCAGCAGTTAGGACAATAGCATCCCATGTAGGGACTCTGGAAGGATGTCTGACCGACAACCTTAAATGGTACCATGATTTTCGCAGAATTGAGGTTATGTCAACCTTCTTGTGTTTGGTTCGAGAGAATGCTCTTTCTCTTCTTGATTCCATTTCTCTCTCTTCTTGGTTCGAGGGAAGAGAAGGAGAGGATAGGCGGTAAGTCAGAGGGAAGAAAAGAGAGGGAAAGGAAAAGATTTATTAACGCAGAGAAATAGAATGCCGACTGTCGGGGGGATTAAGGTAACCAAAAAAATAAAGAAAGATAAGAATTCAGAATACGGCGTCGCATATCAAGACGAAGGAAAATAGACTCCAGGAGAACAATAGTTAAAATAATTGAAAAAAACAAAATGGCGTCGCCCGGACTCGAACCGGAGACCTTCAGTGTGTTAGACTGACGTGATAACCAACTACACCACGACACCGCTTTTAATTTTTTATATATACTATTTAAATTTGATCTTTAATCAAGCTGAATTTAAAAACTAAGAATAAAACCATAAAAATTACTTTGCTATATTAATAAGTTTTGGTTAAAAGAAATAAATAGCCAAAAAAGGAAACGTATTTTTTTGGGGGCTAATAACGGCAACGTAATTAATAGTGACAGAAAGTAGGTAATATTATAAATTTTTTGAATTAATATCAACTTTTAGATGCAAAGTAAATCAAGGGTTAAAGATGTTGTGCCAAACTATAAGGGCTACAAATTAATTACTTGAGATCCATGTTTAACATCAAATCACTATTTTTATTTGTTTATAAAAAAAACAATTTAAATATACACTTTAAGATAAAGCATGGCTAGTTAGTTTAAGTATTGACTTACTTTCTTCTTCTTCTTTTTTACAATTAATTGGGGTGTGTTTAAGGGTATAAACTACAGGTGTTATGGCATCGTCAAACATCACAATTGTTTTATTATTTGATTTAATATCATCTTAGTCAATCCTTTCCGTTACACCCTCGAACCATCTTAGTTAACCTATGGCTCCCCAGCCAGGAAATTCTAGTTCCGCCCTTAGTACAATATTGAGCAAAGTATCCAGACTAGCCATAAAAAGAAAAGGGAAAGGGAAAGTGAGAAAAGAAAACAAAGAGATTAGGTTATTATTGCTCTATAAAGATGAGACAAAAACTAATTGTAGACTGAACTAGGTTGATTTTCGTGCTATGTTGCTGTTTGTGTTTTTTTTAGTGATATTTTTAGATGTTATTAGTAATTTTTTATTAAAACAATTATATTAACTCCCGTTATAATCTCAATCAACTAAATAAGCTTGTTTTATTTAAATTATATAAAGAAAAAAAACAATAATAGAAAATGGGGAGAAAAAAAACACACACACACACACACACACACACATATATATATATATATATATATATATGTGAATAAATGATGATCAAAATAAATAAAAATAATAATGTACTATCAACTTGGATTGAATTGTAAAATTAAAAATAATAAAAATTTTATAAAATAATCAAGGAAAAAAGTAATAAATTATAAGAATAAATATCAAATTGAACATGTAAAATATTTCAATGTGTTTTTTATATAAAAAAATCATAAATATAAATTGAAAAACTTATGCATGCATCCAATTAAATAGACTATAAATTATTGTATAAACTATAAATTATTGTGTAAATAAATGAAATAAAATAATTAATAATAAATAAAAATATAATTGAAAAAATCAAGAAAGTAATGTAAATCAAAATATTTAACATCTTAACACGAGTTATTTATTTGGTTGTGTTTATAAAAATTAATTTGTAATAGATATTGACACACACATAAGATTTATTGAATAAAATATAAAAAAAAATATTATGAAAAGTTGCACATATTAAAATACTATAAAGAATAAATATTTAATGTATATAAAATATACAAAAAAAATTGTTAATGATAAAAACTTAAACACAACTAATGTAGTTAAAAAGATTGTTATTCGAAAAAGGCTAAAAAACCAAAAATGAAATTATAGAGAATGGATATTAATTATAATATAAATTTTAAAAATACATATAAAAAGCTATTAATATAAAAAATAAAAGATCTAAAAAAAATAAGCAATAAGGTCAGATATTGTTAAGTTCGGTAAACCAGGCCTAGCACCTAACTTAATCAAGAAAAGCTCCATTTGTACGGGTCTTTAATTTTTTTTTTAAGTTTAATAGGGTGAATGACATGAGCGGGTCTTCAATTTTTATTTTTTTTAGTTTAATGAGGTAAATAACGTATTATTTGCTCTAGTTGCCTAATAAAAAAAATAATGCGTCATTTAGAAATCTCAAAATTTTCTAGTACTACTGTGGCCGAAAAAACAAGGCTCTTTTTTATCTAAAAATCAATTTTGAACCAAATTTTTATCCAAAACTCATAGAAAATACCATAGAACACATAATTATAACTTTTCTCGTCACATGAAATCTTTTGACATAAAAATAGATGTTTTAGGTGGCCAAAATCTTTCCTAACATCGATTTTATTTCTTTAAACTAGAATTTGACAACCCCCTCTCCTTCACCCAAAAAAAACTAAAAAGGAAGAAAATAAAATTTAATATCAAAATGTATTTTTAAGAAATTATAGGAACTGACCATCAAATAATTATAAAAAATAAAAAATAAAAATAAACTTCTAAAATAAGTTTCATAGTTACTACCTATGTTACTCATATTATTTTCATTTCAATTCTTTTTTATTTTAATTCAATCCACATTGTAAAAAAAACATGCAATTAAATGCTAATTTGGATTTAAAATTGCTCAATTGAAAAAAAAAAATTTGAGGGCCAAAATATTTTTTTTAAAATACACTATTATAATCAACAAATTATAAAAGAGTTAACAATGACAATAACTACAGTAAATTCCCAATTTAGTTTTTTGTTAATTAAGAAACAAAGGGGAAAAAAAGAGAGAAATATGGTATCGGTTGAAAGCTAAGCTGGCAATAGATAGATAATAGAAGCGGCAAGACAAAACCAGCTTCGCATAACGACGCTCCAACCTAAACCAAGACAAGAAAAGAACCATCTCATGTTAGGTAACTAAAATTACTGATTTCATCGACCATACAAGTGTTTGTTTACTCCCTCTCTTCCGGTTCCGTACATCACCACCATTTTCTCCTCTTCTTAGCCTATCCCATTTCTTCTCTCATTTCTTTTTTTCACTCCCATTTTCTTTTCAAAACAGACGTTCTTTATATATATATATATATATATATATATATATATACATATTCTTTTATTTGTTCGGGATTTTTTTTTTTTGGGTTCTGTTTCTTGGTTCTGGTTTACAAGGATGTTAATAGAGAACTTGGTGGTGTTGGGATTAGTTTAGAGTATGGACAAGAATTGTAGAGGCGTGGCCGTTGGGCTTATGAATTTCTGTAGTTCATTGCCTCAACATCAACAACAAAAAGACGTGTCATTTCTTGTCATCGAATGCCGATTTCGTTTGCGACATTCGGCTTTCGATATCTTCTGCATTGCTTCTGAAGCATTCTCCGAGCTTCGACACGGAAAACGTCATTGTTTTTTGCCTGTCGATCAAGGAGAATTGCCTTAATTAGGTGTGAAAATTTTAGTAAATAACAGACAGGTTTTTTGACCCCCCCAACAAGATAGGGAAATACGAGTGCGTTTTCCTTTTCCTTTTCTTTTTTTGTTCTTCGTTGTTGGTTTTTCGTTCGGCAAGAATGATATCTGTTACTAGTGATAGTGCTGGATTAGTTTTGGCATCAAATAATGGAATGTATTCAGCGATGGAGCCTTCTGATGCTGGGGCTGATTTGGTAGAAAAAGATCCAACCGGTAGATATGTCCGGGTATATAACAGTTTTCTTCAATTCAATTTCATGTTCGTTTTAGCATTTAGCTTTTCAAGTTGTTGCCTTCAGGTGCTGTATGAGATGATTTGGTTTAATTTGAGGCAATTTAAAGTTATATTTTGGTTTTTTATTGTTCATGTTTTCTTTTATAATGATATAAAGCTCTTTTCTCTGTTTGTGATCACTAATTTTCAGTTTTCCTTTTTGTTGATTACAGTATGATGATGTGCTGGGCAAGGGTGCATTTAAGACTGTGTATGATCCTTATGCTTAACCTTTCTTTTATTTAAGAAAAATCTATTTGGAGGTTACATATTTTCAGAAAGCCAAAATCTTTGAAAGCAGAGAATTAATTTTTGAATGCATATATGGCGATCCCTCTGTACTCTTTTTTGCAGTTACAGGGCATTTGATGAAGTGGATGGGATAGAGGTTGCTTGGAACCAAGTAAGAATTGATGATGTCTTGCGGTCGCCAGAAGATTTTGAAAAATTATATTCTGAAGTTTATCTGCTAAGGTCATTAAGACATGAAAACATCATCAAGTTCTCCAATTCTTGGGTGGATGATAAGAACAAAACAATTAACATGATTACTGAACTCTTCACATCTGGGAATCTGAGGCAGTATGTTCTTGAATCATTTTTTTGTTGGTTTTTCTTTGCCTTGCATTATTTGTCTTTGTTGTTTACATTTGTACTAATTGTTTATCTTTGGTTATCAGATATCGAAGGAAGCACAGAAATATTGATATAAAAGCAATAAAGAATTGGGCGAGGCAAATTCTTCAAGGTTTAGTCTATCTCCATGGTCACAGTCCGCCTATCATTCACAGGGATTTAAAATGTGACAATATATTTGTTAATGGAAATCATGGAGAAGTTAAAATTGGAGACCTTGGGTTGGCCATTGTTATGCAGAAGCCTACTGCAAAGAGCGTTATCGGTATTGACTTGATGTTTCAATTCCTATGCATAGTAAAACCAACTTTGTTAGAATTACTGAGCATTTCTCTTGTTTACACCAGGAACTCCCGAATTTATGGCTCCAGAACTATATGAAGAGGAATATAACGAACTTGTCGACATATATTCTTTTGGGATGTGCATATTAGAATTGGTTACTTGTAATTATCCATACAGTGAATGCAGAAATGCAGCTCAAATTTATAAGAAGGTTACCTCTGTAAGTTCTTTAATCATCAGCTTATTATCATTTACATAGCCTTTCTTATCAAATGTCTTTATATGACTATCTTCTTGATTGATTGATGTGCATTTCACTACATTTGCAGGGTATTAAACCTGCTTCCCTCAAGACAGTGGGTAACATACAGATTAAGGAGTTTATTGAGAAATGTCTTCTTCCAGCATCTGAGAGATTGTCTGCCAAGGAGCTACTCAAACATCCATTTCTTCAGCTTGAGATTCCAATACTGGAACAGATCTGTCATCCCTTACCGGTACCTAACCAGTTTCCTATATCACTAAGTTTACCCAAGTCTGGCCCTCTATTCATGGACATGGATATCGACGAAAAGCAACTTTCAGAAAGTACATGTACCAGAAGCAACAATGGAAGTCCAAAATCTCCAGTTTTGGAATATCAGAGAGCACATAAGAACAATGAATTTGGGTTGAAGGGGATGAAAAATGATGATAACTCTGCGTCTCTGACCTTACGAATCTCTGACTTGGGTGGTAAGGAATTATGAATTTTGGAAGACTTACTGTTACTCATGCTCGCAAATGCAATAACTTCAACTTGGTATTTGCTACTTGCAGGTCGGGTGAGGAATATTCATTTTAGCTTCTACCTTGACAGCGATACGGCAATATCTGTGGCAAGTGAGATGGTTGAACAACTAGAGTTGGCAGATCATGATGTCGCTTTCATTGCTGAACTTATTGATTCCTTGATTGTGAAACTTCTCCCTGGTTGGAAGCCATCGTCTTATAGTTCCTCAAATGTTGTAATAGGTGCTTACACTGAGTCCCCAGTCTTTGAAAATGGAGAAAAATTAATTGCATACCCTTGGAATTCAATGTTAAGTAGTGTTCCTGTTGGAACACTAGCTGAGCAAGATGATCTCTCTGGGTTAACAAGGAGTCATTGCTTACAAGCTGATGATAGTAATATCAGTGACAGCCCCAATAATGAGATTTCTCAATTGGTATACAATTCCTCTCCAAGTTTTGCTAACATGGGAGATCAAGAATCTCAGTCATCAGTTGTTTCAGAGATACTTGTCCAAGGTGCTTCATCTATAAACAACAGAACGTCTGAATATTACAATAATGGTGGAAGCTTCAAAGGCACAAATGGATATGTTACTGAGTCAAAGCTTGGAGATTCATATCTCAATTGCAAGTTGGATAGACAAGACAGTTATGTAGGAGAATTCGTTTCAATGAATGAATCTACAGAGAACTCAGAGTGGTCATTCCCCAAGCAAAGCGGAGCATCAAATGTCACGAGCTTGACGAGCAGCTGTTCTTCTCAATCATCAGCTGACAAAGACGGATATGATCTAAAGCTGGGACTTGATGCAATAGAGGCACAGTACCATAATTGGTTTGTAGAACTCACTAGGATGAAAGAGGAGGCGCTGGAGGCCACCAGAAAGAGATGGACAGAAAAGCAGAAGTTAGCTGCTCATTGATTAAGAGCCTATCACCTAGCTGATTTTTGTGTGTTTTCTTCTATCTTGTTTATAATAACATTCACTAATTCTTTGTTTAAGGGTTGTAATATGCATTAACTGAATCCTGTATTGATTACGGCTCTTTTTAGTGGAAGCTGTGGCACTTGGACTTCATCTTGTGCTCTGCGAGCTAATTTCTTTGTTGACTTTGTTTGTAAGCGCAGTGCAGTGTATATAATTGCCCAAACTTGCTGGTTTTTACATGATATCTGATCTCTTCTCTTGCCAGCATTAGCTACAATCTTTACTGCTAGAATGAACTGTTAATTTTGTTTTAAGCGTTGTTGTGCATGTCATAGTATATGGTCCCAGGTTAAGGTCTGGATAGAAATGTGAGGAAGGCATTAAGGGCTCCTGCAGTCCATGTAAGTTCTTAATTCTCAATTCTTAGTTGTTATTCACAATTTCTCAATTTGATATCAAATATTGTCAAATAATTCGGAGAGCAAGTTACGCAATTTCATTAGAAAATTATCATAGCATCTCCAGTCTACATAGACATCTCATATCTGTAACATCGGAAACAAGAATGGGTGAACAGGACTATTGAAACTTGATACTTTCGAAGATCTGAGTATAACTTGTGAGGCTTCCAAGGCAAAAATATGGATGACAAGTCCTGAGCACATCACATCTTTCCACGCGTGTCATTCAAGCAAAAGTAAAATGCTGTTGCTGGCTTATCAGCTGATCTAATCCGTACCTACCGTTAACAGGCGTTTCCGAAGTTGCAAAGGGAAATCAAATAAAAGAGAGAGAGGAGTAGAGTTGAGAAACGACACCAGGAAAATAAGATCATTTCGAGTTAGCGAGCCTTCATCTGCCCTGATGAAGGAGTTGCAGGATGAACAAGAATGATTGAAAAATAAGACCAGTTTTACAAGTTAAAACTTAAGGCATCGTCTTAAACTGTGGAAACTGAATATCATAATTTAGTCAAATCCAATAAGGAGATAGAAAATATTTCTCCCATGCAATTAGATGAGCAAGTTTAGCTTAACCTTGTAAAACTCATGAACTCAACCCTGACACAACCGACCAATTGAACAAGGCATAGCATTTCCATTGTTAAGCGGACGAGGTTCACTCCCTAGTACCCTCGTAGCCGCCAAATTCAATCCAAACCCCACCCCCTTTTTTATTAAATAAACCGAGATGTTTCTGTGTACCCCACCCCCTTTTTTATTAAATAAACCTAGATGTTTCTGTTCGTTTTCTCACAGCTTGAGTTATTATATTTCTTCACTAGAATTAGTCGTCCTTTGATTGAAAAACAAATCGGAGAAGAAAAAAAAAGCAGATCAGCATTGTTACATTGAATAATAATGCTATGTCACGATAAGTTTAGTAATATTTAAATCAATTTAATATTAAAAAAATAAATTAATAGAATTAATCCGTCAAATCTATATCATAAAAATATAATAATTTAATTAAAAAATTAAATCTAATATTAAAAAATTATATATTAATTAAAAAATTATTATTTTAATAAATAATATTTTATAAGGAGAACCCCTCTTCTTTTAGTTTATAATTAATAATTCATAATAATTATTTTTTATCAAGTAAGTGATTAATGAGAACTTAATCAAATTATAATTAAGATTAATTTTTTTCAAAAAAAAAAAGTAGTGGTTGGAATAAGCCGAAAGAAGTGCCTTTTCTTTTTTTAAAAAAAAATCTTCTTCTTATCAATTTTCATGTTCTATCCACATCTTTTCCTTTTTTTCTCAATCTCTTAAAGTAATAAAAATAAATAAATTGAAAAATAGTATTAAATGGACAAAAAGGATTAAGTTATTAACAGATTTAAAAACATAAAAATTAAATTAATATATTGTTTTTTAAATAATAAGGACTAATTGATTAGTTTTGCTAAAACTAAGTTATAATTAACTCTTAACAAAAAAAAAAGTCTCTCTCCTCTTTCTCTTCCCCTCTCAATTATTCGGTGCATAAATGAGAGATTCATTCAATATTCCAAATAAAAAGGCAGAAGCTTGGAGAAAGATAATGAAACTGAAGAACAGTGTATGGGAGCAGTGCTAGTGGATACTTGGTTATGGCAAGGAATTTTCTATATGGTGAGACAATTGGTACCCTTTTGGTCCTTTTGTTAAAGCTCTTCGACGAGGGACAATCATTGAATCAGGTTTATCTGGGAATTCAAAATTGTGTGACGTGATTCAAGAAGAAGAATGGATGTGGCCTCCTGCACGATCAAACCAGACGGATCAAGAAAGTTGCTTTATATGTAATGTGTAATTTTGATGATGAGGATCGCGATCATCTTTTCTTTACCTGTCTTCTTACCACAAGGACTTGGCAGCAGCTATTGCATCTATGTGAAGAGGAACTGGTTTGCAGAAAAATGAATATTGTCTATGGCCTATGGGGAAGGCAATCAATTCAGAAGATTTAGATAACTAGGCAGTCTCTAGTTAAGTCATAATATCTGTTTACCGTTGTTTTTGCTTACAGTACATTCTGTGAAACTGATGTTTTAATAATTTATTAGAATTAGAATTTCTAGGACGAAGGCTTAGTCTAAAAGCAACAATCATTGACGGGCTTAATGCTTTGTTAATTACATCATTAGTTAATGTAAACTTTTCATCTTGTTTTGGGTTTTGCTTTGGCCCCTACCATTAACGTCTTTGTCAACCTGGTTTTGTTTATTCAATTTACTATATTTTTCTTATTTGGATTCGTCACTCCATCAATTATCTAATTAGGGTCTCTGATTAGACTGCATATTTCTCAATCATTGATGCCTTATTAATGTTCTGATCGAGTTTATCCTTTAAAGCAAATTCTGGTTTAATGGCTGGCTAGTTCCTTTTCTTTGCCTTCTCTTGCTCTGGTTTCTTCGGAGAAGCGAAGTTTCCATGGCCGAGGGCGCAGTCGGGCCACGGTTGTACTGTTGTTTTAAGTGCAGAAACCTTGTTTCCTGTCACGATGATATTGTCTCCAAGACTTTTCGGGTGAGCTTCATTAATCTCTCAAGGGTTTTCTTTTTTTTCATGCTGCAATGTAAATAAGTAAATAACACCATAAAACACGAAATTAACGGTACGGATCACATAAAAAAAAAAATTCTTCTACATGTTCGATTAGCCTAGTAATTACAATTTACAGGATCTTCGCATGTCAAACATATGGAATCGAAGGATCCATATTAAGTCATTTAATTTCAGTGTTGCTATAATTCAAGAACTTGGTTTATTAAATGATCCTTCTCGACATTTGGATGATAATATTTCAAGTTATTTCACAACAATGGATATTTTCTTAGGCAAACAATGGTAGAGCCATTCTGTTCTCCCATGCAATGAACATTATCTTAGGGCCAAAAGAGGACCGCCAGCTTATCACTGGTGTCCACACGATCGCTGATGTTTACTGCTCCGATTGTGGGGAGTTATTAGGTTGGAAGTATTGGAAAGCTTATGAAGAATCGCAGAAGTACAAGGAAGGAAAAATTGTTCTTGAAAATTTCAAGATTGTCAAGGAAAACTGGTAGCAGATGTATGGTCACCACAAGTCCTCGTGTCCTGGCCAATGGCCGTCCATACAAGTTCTTTGATTGCCTTAAGAATGTTTATCCTTTACACAGTATCAATTCAAATTCTAATTAAATGGACATTAGCATGCTTCACGTGGTGAAAAATATTGTCATTAATGAATGTTTTCCGTGTAATTTAGATCGCCTTTGTTTTGTATTTTAAAAAATAAAAAAATTGTATTAATTTTTTTCTTTTAAATATTTTAATAGGCTAATATGAAAATAAATTTTAAAAAATAAGAAAATATATATATTATATCAACTATTAAAATACTAACCAAATCTTAAGATCGCTAACTATTCAAATTCTGCATTGAAAATCGATATGTTGTCTTGTGTTCTGACGTTGAGAAAAGTGGGAAAGTGAAATTTGTGTACCTAGGTGTCTAGCTTCTTAGCAAGTAAGGGGATTGAAGATGATATTTCGTCTCGAAAATCAATGAAAAAACAAAAATCTTTTTGGGAGTTTCTGGGTAGCTTCCAATTCCTTTTCAGTTTTAAAATTCCCTCATTCGTGTTTACATGTGTCTAAAATGATGCATGCACATGCAGTGAAGCCAGCTTTTGGCAGTCTAGCTAGCATATCTCCAAACAACAAGATCGTGAAAGTTGATTAAGCCATGTAATTTTGTAAACCTCTGTAGAAAAACTTGGACATTTCAGCCACATTTACTTTGATTCGCTCGAAGCTTAGAATGCTGGCAAGCAATGCTCGACAAACCAGTTGAGTAATATGTCATATTATCTAAAGTTAGATAGCAAGACTAAAACTTGAAACATTAAACAATCTATTGAGAATTGATTTAGCCATCTGTGGCAACATCAGAAAATAATTATAAAAAAAAAAAACTGAGGTGAAGAACATAAAATGCTGTTATTGATGGAGACATGAAGCTAAACAAAAATGTACAATCAAACTGATGACCCCAATTCGATTGTCTAATTGCATGCACAGACAGTCTGGTACTCGTCAATTATTAAAATGGCCTTGCTACCAGGGAGACGAGGACAACAATTTCGTAACTGATGAGCTCATGAAATTTGTAAGCATGAAAAAACCAATTATGCTTCCATCAGACAAGAAAACAATTATCCCTGCAAAAACCCTGCAATTTAATGATGCCACCAATTCGCCGCGCACCGTTTAGCCCACCACATCATATGGGTAAGACCCAAGGGCATGGCAAGACCACTCGATCCAGGGCTAATAGGAGATGTTCGTGAGCCCAAAAACTCGCAACTGGTGAGCGCTGGCTATCCAATCACTTGCCATGTTCAAGAGTACGAGATTCTCTTTGGTTTTATGTGTGGGTTTGAGCTTTCTTGCTTGTCTTTCATTCGAGAAACATGGTTTTTTTTTTTTTTTTTCATTAGACAGACGGGGTCAATCGTTCTCCTGAATAATATATGGCACTGATATTCAACTTCGAAGATACGAAAAAAGTTGGAAAGATCTTCACTCCAACATGTAGTGGGCAAGCAATTAGCATATAATGATTCGAAAGGAGCATCAAAAATTAAGAAAATTTAGTTTCAAACCGAACTGTGCAAACTTCTAGATGACTTGGCAAGGATCTCTCACCATCAAATTCAGCAAAAAATAAAATAAAATTATTGTTTATGGATGTTGAAAGGGTCTTAGGCTCTCAGCTGGGAGCAAGTCTTTATGGGAATCTCCCCTAATCTTATGTATTCGATAAGACAAAAAAGAAAGAAAAAAGAATCTTAATTAGGGTTCAGTCTTGACGGAGAGCAAGCACACATGATAAATGATTCATTAATTACTAGGGGAAAAAAAACTCGTGGATAGCTTTAAAAATTATAAGTTGGAAAATTGGTTATGATAAAGTTAATGGATTGATTTAGTCTTAACGGAGAGCAAGCACGTTTTTATTATTATTATTATTATTATTCTGCTTTAATTTTCAAAACTAAAAAATTATTTTTGAAAATCCGAATAGTTCGAGAACATAGAAAAAAATGTTTTATTTTCTTTCCCTTCTTGGCTCTTGTGATATCCTTCTTAGAATCCCGGCAAATCATTTATATTAAAATAGTTTACATTAATTGACGAATAATTTAGCTTTAAGGAGAAGAAATGGAGTTCTTGACAAACAACTATCTTTATCTCTTGTTTTATCCGAAATAGTTTTATATGTGTGTGCTTATCGTTTGTGTAGTATGTTATTCGCTTGGTTATATGTCAAATATTCTGCAAAATCGTTGCTTCTCCTAAGAAATTCTGACAGCATCCACAATTTACATGATAAGGCATGTGCACGCTTCCAATGGTCTAGTGCGTGCGTTAGATGCTGGAGTCAATGACGAATTGGATGGAACATATAAATCATAGTATTATAATGGACAGAGAACAATCAATGGAAGAATCCAAACATCAAATTGTTAGAGTGGGGGGAGAGAACAGGAACCTTCACAGAAGCACCCCAATCGGACATTTTAAGCCAATTCATCCCATCAATTATTAAGTTTGCGTCTAGCCGCAGCCCACACGATCCTGTATTCCCCTCAAGATGAACCTTCCTAGAAACTTATATTCCTGGGAATAAAATAAGGGAAAAATCTTAAAATGGTGGCACCACCACACAACATGTAAAACGCTGAGCTGCCAATTTCTAGATATGTGTCCTGACCCATGAATCAGACCGTCCATTTACATGAATACTGGATGGATATCAATGTATTTGATGTGTTTTCTTTCTTTTGAGCTTCATTAGAAACTGCCCAAATGATATGGGACCATATCGAAAAAGCAATGACACTTTCCATGCTTATAAAAGGTCAGATAAATCTGCCAACCTTAGCTCATCCCTAAGGCTTTATATATTTTTCCACGCCCAAATATTGTCCTGAGTTTTCTCATCAACAGAAATGGAGAAGGGTCAAATTGGGATGAAAACTGCAACAAGCAGCGAGTACCAGGATTTGTTACCGGTGATGGCAGAGAAGCTTGATGTAAAGGCTTTTGTGTCTGAATTATGTGGGGGCTTTCGTCTTCTGGCGGACCCCGAAAAGGGGTTGATTACATCAGAAAGTCTGCGAAGGAATTCGGCCCTGCTAGGGATGGAAGGGATGAGCAAAGAAGATGCGGAGGCTATGGTGAGAGAAGGAGACCTTGACGGAGATGGAGCACTCAATGAAACAGAATTCTGCGTTCTGATGGTGAGACTGAGTCCTGAGATGATGCAGGATGCTGAAACCTGGCTGCAGAAGGCACTTGAACAGGAACTAAGGACATCCTCACCCTGATTTTTCCTGTTGTATTAACTTAGAAGAAGGTTGTCTCTTTCATTATGTTGTACGAGCAGGTTGTAATTGATGAGCGCAATGAACTTCATTGTACTGCATGCAGGAATACATCTACCCTTAACAGGAAGTGCTCTCAGATTAACAGATCCGGCCACTAACTGAATGAAAAGAGATGCTAAACGCAGTAACAAGTGACACGAATACACAATCACTCACCTTCACGTAAACTACTCACGGTGAGGTGATGATCATGTGGGTCTCCAAGTTCGTATTCCACGCGTGCATTGTTCACTGAAAATGAAAACTCAAAAGGCTTTTATTTTAGGCACATCAAAGAGGGGGCAGGTGAGGCTAGCCTTCCAAGCAAGACAAATAAACTTCTAGCAGGCGAGGAAAGCAGGTAAGCTAACAATCCTAAAATGCTTGGATAGGACGTTGGATAATGGACAGGTTTGTCTTCTCTTAAAAGGCCATAAACTAAAAACATGCAGGCATGATAATTGAGTTTTAAAAAAAAACCGCCCATGAACTCAACGGAGAAGTGGGAATATAATTTACAATTCTTTTAGCCTAATCATCCATCCAAGGAAACGACTTACTAAATTAATTGAACATCCAGCTTCCCAACTACATAACCAAAAAACAATTTTGAAGGCATCGGCGCGGTTTGACAGAAAATCACCATCTATTAATAGGAATTTAACGAGGATGATGCCAGAACTTAAGAACATCGCCGTCTATTATGCGGCCAATGACAAACCAAATTCGACCAATATCTCTACTTTGATATAAAATAGACAAGTGTCCCAAATTGTAAATCCATGAAATCTACACTGGAGAAGAAACAACATATACTATGCCAATATGCACTTTTCTACGGATCTTAAGCTATTGCAATTACACGAGATGGTGCAGTGAAACAAGCAGAAAGCTTCCCATCATTCCCCGTGTTCTCGATCTTCAAACTGGTGTTCTCGATCTTCAAACTGGTGATCGACTGTAAACATACATAAGAAAACAAGACATTGAAAAATATGCGTTCCTCTGGAAAAGATGAGAAGATAAGCTTCAAACAGCAGTGCTGTTTCTTGGAAAAACAAGCGAAAAAAAAAAGAGTGGAGAATCAGTTCAAGTGGAAAGCAATACCTGCGGTGTCTGCCATACTCAGGGCTTCTGTTCCTACCATAATCAGAACTTCGGTGCCTGTCATGCACTGGATCATTGTACTTATCATAAACAGGGCTGTGACCTCGACCATAATCAGGATTTGGCCGCCTGTGATGAGCTGGACTCGGCGACCTCCCATAATAACTTCCTCTTCGAGGACTATCATATCTGTCACCCCTCTCACTGTCATCTCTCAAAGCATACTCAACAGAAACCACCCTGTCCAATATCTTGCTGCAGAAATGTAAGACGTTACATTATGTTAATCATCTGATCTAAAAAAGAAAAATATAACCAGGCCATTTTAACAAGAAACATAGTCAAAAAATGTTGACTAACGTCATGTGCGTGCACTGAAGAGCTTTGGTAGCATCTTCTTGTGTCTCAAACTGCACAAATGCAAAGTTCCGTCGAATTCTGACATGAAGAACCTCTCCATAACGCTCAAAGTGTCTTTTTATGTCCTCAACCCTTGTATGAATTGGATCAAAATTAATAACAAACAGGGTTTTAGTTGGCCTCTGGTTCACTGTCGACCTTGGTCCATCTTGATGCCGACCACGTTCACCCTAGCGTATTCATGATATAATCAGAGAACAAAATAAATCTCAACCACTTACAAAAAAATATAGCAACAATTTGGGGAACACGTGGACAAAACATTAGATTAAAAACTAGCAAAGTGAGAACAACATATACCCTAGCCCACTCAACAGAAAGCCTGCGCCTGTCATAACCGAAAGGTATATTGTCAAGTCCACGTATAGCATCTGCAGCATCACGGTCATCCTCGAAATAAACAAAAGCAAACCCTGCAGCAAAGACTCAAATTAGAGACAGGATAAGTGATGCATGGCCTACGAATTAAATCCACTTAACCAGGGCACATCAGCCAAATCAGGATTCCTTGTCCTGGTAAGAACTTGAAATTTATACAACACCTGCAGAATACTTGATGGGCTGATGCACATAGGGATGCAGATTGTGGAAGCGTTGCATGATGAACTAAGTGAAGATGTTGGCATTTAAGAGTTTAAAATCCAAAGTTTCACGCTGAGATGTCATTGCTAAGCATGCTTCGCCATTCAGATAGCACTAGTTCAGAAATGGAAGGCATGGCAAGACAGGTTTCAATTCATCCTCCTATTATCAGTAGTGGTAGACAAGGCATAGTAAATTGACCGAGATCATCACGACCACTCTTTTGAAATGCATAGTTAGGGCGGTGAGGTGGGTGAGTGACAGATGATCGAGTGAAGAAAATACAGTATGATTCCATCTGTGAGTGGAAGGAGGAGGAGGGCAACAAGCATGAAAGTTTCCAAGCCACTACAAATGTTGGCGAGCCCAGATAGAAGCTCAAATTTCCTTAGTAAGAGTTCCTGCGTCAAAACAAACACTTAATATGGAGGTGTTCTCCAGAGAAACTTCAAATTGCCCATTTCCGCTTTTTTATTTCTAAATGGATTTTTAATTTGAACGCAATCACCACTACTCAAGTAGTCATATATTTTGTATCCCACAAACTGATTTTCAGAATAACTATCCAGTCAAGAATTAACACAATAGCCACCCAATCCCACTCGAAACCAAAACTAGCAATCCCTTGGAGAAATCTCAAAACTTAGCTCGAAACAAATCGTTCATGACACAATAAACTACAGTGTCAAATTCCAAAAAAAAAAAAAAAACCATCGGACCATGTATCAACATAATTTCACAAGGAAAAAAAAAATAGTTAAATGATAATCGAACTTGATATGCAAAAAACCAATAACTTCCATTCTTTCCTAAGCCACAGCTCAATCATAAATAATATTATTCAACCACTTATCAAACTCAATTACAAGTCCTTCCGCATTTCATCACCAAATAAAGTAATAACAAATAAAAAAACAGTACAGTTTACCAGATTTCATGTTAACTCGCTCCACCCGTCCGTACTTTCTGAACAAGCGCTCCAACTCCGATTGCCTCGTCTCCTGCTCAAAGTTTCCAACGAAAATTGGCCGCGCCATTCCTGCAAATCGATTCGCCCCTAACTAAACACCAACACAGTCGAAGACTAATAAGAACCCTAGAGGCGAGATTTATTTAACGGAAGGAGAGTGATCGGAAACCATACCTGAAGAGGAAGAGCACTTACCGTGTTCGTGATGATAAAAGGAGTAAAACCCTCGAGGAAACAAGGAATAATTGAGTAGGGCTTATATAAATAGAAACCCGTAATTAGACTCCACCTTTAGATTTTCCTTTCCACTTTTTCTTTTTTTTCGTGGTGCCACCTGCCAACTACTTCAGCCCTGGAAATTAAGGGTATTTTTGAGATATCAAGTTGATGATATAGAAGGAAACAATGTTCGACGTGAAATAGATATAGGAAGGGATAAAGCCCGTTGGGTTTATTGAAGAGGTAATATAATCAGGCCCACTGGACAAATAAAACTCAGTAGAGCTGGTTAAACTAAGGCCATCTTACCTTACCTTGCCAGGTATCATTTTGATCAGACTCTCTCTTGCATTCCGGGTGTTTGTTTACGTGACTATGTGTGTTTTTTTTTTTAAAAAAAAGGTATTTTTAAATTTTTGGATATATTAATATAAAAAATAAAAAAAATCATTTTAACATAATACGAAATATTATATTCATAAAATCTAATCCATGTTTCAAAAATGATCTATTGTTAAGAAAATTCACAAATTATTAATCTATTTGTCTCGATGACTGCTATAAACAGGTGCGGACCTAAAAAAATGAAATTAAGGGTCAAGTTAGAAAAATTATTCTGGAGATTAAGATTTTATTTTATTTTTTTATTTTTTGAGCTAAAATTATAGATATTGTTAAGGGAGGGAAAAAAAAATTCCTTGTCGGGGGGTCACGGTACTGCCAGCCCCTTTCTCCGTCACTGGCTGTAAATTACACGATTATATTGAAAAAAATTATAAATAATGGAAATGAATTGGACTTTTTTTAACAATTCCGGTAGCCACGACGCAAGGGAATTCGTGGCCGGAGTAGGGTTGAGCTGGAGAGGAGAACAATTCAAATAACCTGGAGAAAAAACTACAGACAGCCCCTTAAGCCGTTTATAGCCGTTATCAAACGACACAATCCACCGGAGACGTTATTTTTCTTCTTTTTTTTTTTCTTTTTTAATGAATAGTGGGGTTAGGAGTAGACTTCTGTGGAGGGATGGAATTCCGGGAAATTGCGTTGCAGAAAGGATAACGGTCGAGGTGTGGATGGGAGGTCAGATGAGCAAGGACAAAAGCAAGACTGCCTGGATTCTTTGAAAAGGGTGGTCAATCAAGATAACTTTTGAGTGTTTCTTTTGACCATTGTATGTGTTTATTGGATAGGACATTGTCTCGGGGTTGATATAATGTTAAAGCGAGTGGTTGGATTGGATTTTAAAAAAAAAAATAGAACAGTTTTTTAAAAAGATTGGTGAAATAATAACTTTTGCAATTATTTTTTTTTTGAAATAACATATTGACATCTTATTACTAAGTGTTACTATTTATAAGTATGATAAGATAATTGTTCTCCTTTATAATAATATTATTTAGTAAGTATTGTGCTTTTAAAATTCGACAAAATGAAACTTCATTTATCTAATTAAATTAATTGATCGGTTTGGTTCAATTATATTAATTTATTAATTATTTTATATAAAAATCATAGTTCAAAGAATTTTTTTTTCAAAATACATTTTATAAGTCAAAATATATGAGCCTTCAGACTTAAAAATAAATAATAATTAATCTCAAAAAATTATTGTTCACACAATAGTTGTTCTTTGTTTTTCAATGTTAATGATATAATTAAACTTGCAATAACATGTGATTTCGAACAGTCAGATGTGGATATACCATAGCTAAACAAGGATCAGTCCTAAACAGATTATATGGATAGTCTAGCAAATTTATTTTATGGTTCAATGTCAATGATACCATCAGACTTGCGATAATATGTGATTCTGAACAGTCATATGTAGGTTTGTTATAGCTAAATAAGAGTCAGCTCCAAATATATTACATGGATGGTCTAAAAGATATATTTTATGGACAAGTGAAACAAGTTTAGACCCAATAGAAGGTTGGGTCACGACAGGCTAGAATGACGGCTTAAAAGGATGATAATTTTTTATTCAATTGTTGGATCGCGGTCAAATTTTTATAGGAGTTTTCAAAAGCTATTTTCTTTAAAATAGTAATTGCTTTGCTACATAGACCATCGAATCTCTAAATATAAAAAATCTCAATGAGACACTCTAATTTTAGCATTTTTTATATTTTTCTTATTATTTTTTGAACCATTCAACCAATTTTAATAACTATTATAAATCAGTTATCAATTAAGCTAAATAATTGAAGTTTCATCTTATCATGTTTTAAAAGTACAATAAGGTGAAAAGGTGTTACTTCACCCAAAAGATTTGCTCTTATGTTAATTCATCAATTGTTTTGATTTTATGTGCTAATTTTTCTATTTATCTAGTTGGGTTATGGTAGTTTTTGTTTTTGAATGTATTTGACCATGCCGAAAAAAGATAGATACGAGCCCATAAGTTTTTTTATTCAATTATTTTTTAAAAAAAAAATGATTAAAGAATGTTTTGAGGATAAAAATATGTCTGCCCATAAGTTTTTTTATTCAATTATTTTATTTTTTAAAAAAAAATGATTAAAGGATGTTTTGAGGATAAAAATATGTTTATTAAGATTTTAAAGATGTTGTTGAGGTATTTGGATGAGAGTTATGTTTTGAGCTTTTTTTAAAAAAGAATAAAAATAAAAGAAAAATTGCATGGACTTGACCTTTTATATCTAACAACTCCTTATCTTTTTAAAAAGAAAAATTATTTTTTTAATTAATATAATTTCTTTCATTTCTTCAAAGTGCTTGGTTAGTGGTTTTTTTTATATATATATATAATATCTTTAAGAGATTATTGTAATTCATTCTTGTATTTTTTCCTTGATAAATTTCATATAAACTAGTCGTATTTACATTATACATTTATATAACAAAAAATCATAAGTATTTAGCAACCGACACAAATCGCAAGGATATATCTAATAAAATAAAAATTACATACAAGATAAAATATTTACATTTGTAACTTTCTTTTACTTTTTACTAAGATATTAAAGTTTCATTTTACTTTTTAATTAGTAATTATATTTTTTTTATTCATTAGTCAATATATAATTTTTATTAATTGTATTAAATACATGTATAATATTTTCATTCCTCAGTTAGCAAATTTCACGATGCACAAACAACATATTGATAATGCCCGGTACCTCCTACTCTTAGGTTTAAAATTGACTTAAAATATACTACCTACAGCATAACATCGGGTCGTTGGCGAATATCAATCAACAGGCAAATTGAAACGAAACGAATTAAAATCCAAGTGTAAGTGCAAGTACAAGCAAGTTAAAAGTGTAAAAGTTTTAAAATTTTTTAATTATTTAGGAATTAAAAATGAAAATAATTAAAAAATATAGATAAAATTATTTTGTATCGTTTTAATTCATGATTTATTTTGGGTTTGTTTAAGATTATGTTTATGATTAGAGTTCAAAATGTTTTTTATTTAGAAAAGCATCAAAATAATATTTTTTTATTTTTTAAAAATTATTTTTGTTATTACTATATTAAAATTATTCAAAAATATTTATAAAAATTAATTTTTAACAAAAAAAATTAATTTTTTTAAAAATACAAGTTGGATCGCGTTTCTAAAAGATCCGTAACTCGTGATCTATCGAACCGATCAATGACCGACTTGTATATGCATTTAAAAAAAGTAATCTACCGTATATAAATGAAGAGGAAAGCACGTTAAAATTATTTAAAAGAAAATAAAAAGAGAAAAAAATTAAATAATTTTTGCTAGGAATATCGGTTGATGGAACCAATTAACTTTGTGTTGGTTCTGTAAAAATATATAAATATAGCAGGAACCCGCCTATACGCTAACCCGTAAATCAAATAATCCAACCTAAGACATTTCATTCTAAACAATATATTTTATTTTTCAAGAGATTGGAAAATCGGCTTTTCTAATTTATATTGGATTTAAAACACACAATAAGAATAAGAATAGCGTTCCTGCATGCTATGTTAAAATCTGACTTTTTATTAAAAAAAAATATTTTTCTGATATTTTTAAATCATTTAATCATATTAATATCAAAAATAAATTTTAAAAAATAAAAAATATTATTTTAATATATTTTTAATTAAAATACACTAAATAACCGCAATGATAATAACAAATACTGGTCTCTCACGAACACCATTCACTAGGCAAAGAAATCAGAATGTAAAACCTTCAAATTAGAAGTCTTCACCGATAATCATATCATTTTCCAAGTCTCATGCGATTCTACGTATGCTCATTGTCAGAGTAGTCCCCCTCCACAACTGGCATTCTCCTTTGCTAACAACGAAGCAATTCAACAAATGCATAAACAATCACGAAGGGAATGGAAGAGATCAACTAAAAAAAGGGGAAAAAGAGGCTATAAAATATGAAGGAAAGCAACACGAGCCATGAAAAATAATCGAGCATGACACTATCTTACACTGCACTCCTTGTTAGTTAAATGAAAACCGGCGAAGAGAAATTATTGGAGATTATAATAGAGATTTTTTTAAAAAATAGCTGTTATTGAAAATATATTAAAATATAATCTTTTAAAATATTTATACATATAAAATATAATAATAATAATAATAATAATTTGAAATGAAAAAAAAAATCAAAACAAAATTTTGTAGAAATAAAGGTGTACCGTAATGATATACACCACCGAAGGAAACCCAACGAGGCGACCGAGCAAGCTGAGCAAATGGCAGCATTGCTGTCTTTGGATTTCGGATGACGGCATGATGCAGTGCTGGCAACTTTTGTTGCAGGTGAGAGCAAAATGGAACTTTCCAGGAAGGGGGGTTATGCTTTAAAAGATTGCTGATCATGATTATGTGCGCATTAGCTTCACAGCAAAAGAGAAAATACTAAATTAAAGCGGCCGTGCTGTTCCAGTGACACTCTGTCGAGCAGTCTTGCTCATGTTTCGATAACAAAAGGTATTGCCAGTGCACACCTGTTCTTTCACTCTCATTGGAGGTTTATATATATACACACACATTTTAGATGGATGCCTCCCTGAATTAGATTAAATTATTTTTTAACACAAAAAAAATATTTTGACATTCTAATATATTTTTAGTAATTTTTTTAATTATATAAAAGTTGATATGAGATGACATAATTCGTTTGATGTATTTAAAGTCAATTCAAATTATCATTAAAAAAATAATTTGATTTATAAAAATTCAAAACAATATATTTTTTAAATTATAATATTAAAACTATAGCATATTTAATCAATCTAGATCAATTTGAATTAACCTACTAAATTTTCAACTTGATTCATGAGACTACGGTAACTTTATGTAAAATAAATCAAAACAAATTATAAAACTTAATTCTTAATCAATCCAATGTTAAAAGAATGAAATTTAAAAAAAATAATTAAAAATAACAAAATAAAAAATAATATGAGTTAACATTCTAAACCCGTGACTCGAGTTATTAGATTAAGATAACCTTGTAAAAAATAAATATAAAAAATAACTTTAGTTAATCCGAGTTAACATGTCAAACCTGTAACAAAGGTTATGAGAATGTAATAACCTAGTAAAAATCAAATCAAATAACAAAATATAAAGTTATGAGAATGTAATAACCTAGTAAAAATTAAATCAAATAACAAAATATAAAACTTAATTTTCAATAAACTCATTGTTGAATGTTAAAAAAAAAAATTCAATCTACAAATAGGACATTGTAAAATTATCCGAGTCTACTCGGGTTAACCCACAAAACATGTGAATTCAGTTATTAGATGAAAATAACCTTATAGAAAGCAATTCAAAATAAATCATGAAGCTAATTCATAATTAATTTCATGTTGAAGGATGAAATTGAAAAAATATCAATTAAAAAAACTCGAGCCAGCTAGGTTGGCCCGTTAAATTCATAACCCAAGTCATGAGACCTAGATAAACTCATACAAAGAAAATCAAAATAAATCATGAAACTTTATTCCCAGTCAAATCAATGTTGAAGAATGGAATTGAAAAAAAAATATTAATTAAAAAAGACAAAAAAAAACTTGATTCTGTCAAGTTCACCTATTAAACTTGTGATACTGGTTACGAGATTAAGCTAACCACTTGATCATATAGTTAAAGTGGAAACTTGTGACTTATAATCAAATTTCTAATTTTGTAAAAAATATAAAATATGGTGACATCATTAGAGAGAGGTTGACCAAAAATTGCAAACTCGTCTGAGAACTTCTTGATATGAAGAATATAATCAATGACAGAGAAACACTTTTTTATAGGAATGAGTAGCTAAGTTTAAATATGAACAATGCAGGCCTTTGACTAGAAGGAGAAATTTTGTTTAATAAACAACCACACGTCCCCAGATGTGTCAAAGTTAATAACATGGGTAAGAATACTTTCAATAAAAAAAAATCATAAAAGTGCTAAAAATAAGATTATCATGTTATATCAATTCTAGATAAACAAGATTTGAAGAGGAACAAATATAAATACTAAAGGATAAACTTTTTATAACTGAAAATAGTTTTTGAATAAAACCATTATCATAGTCGAATACATCTTAACCCTTCAAATATAAAACCATTTGGGCTTTCTAGAGAAGTTGATTGTCATAGTGAAGCTTGACTATGACCATGCAATACATAATAGTAAAGGTTTAGAATTGAGATGGGTTTGAGTTCTAGTTGGAAGATACAAACATTGTAAAAGATATGATATTAGTCAGGATGATTATGATACCATAAAAAGATTTTATAGTTCTAGTCATAAAAGAAGTTTATCTTGTTATTTTCTTTATAAGCTTTACAAGAGATATATAGTACGAGTTTAACAAGAATTCAAGATTTCATATTTAAATTTAAATACAATCTATAACTCTCTAGTATCAAATATGCTTTTCTTCTATCATATCCTCATTAACTTAGTTATGTATTGGACTTAGCCTTTAACAATATATACGCGTGTTTCATGTTTAATAGGTAGCTTGAATAAGTTTCAAAACTAAATCTTTTTTTTTCCTCTCTCTCTTTTATTCTCTTTGGTCCATCATAGATGGACAACTCGAGCTAGATCCTTCCATCTCGCATAAATCCATCCCGACATAGCCAAGAGCTAAGGATAAAGTTTTTATTACAGGGACTCTCATCATACTTAATTTTATTATCAATGTCTTTACTTTTCAAAAGGTTATTACAACCCTTTATATATTAAAAAAAAAACTAAAAAACCCTAGCAATATTATATAGAACAAAAATAAATTAAAAAAATTATAACCTTCAAATAAAAAAAAAACTAGTAACCACAATACTACAAAATAAGTAAATGAAAATAGGAAAACATAAAATCAATCAAGAAAAATATGTATTTTCCTAAAAAGGCTCCCGTATCGATCTTTCCAAGCTAAAAAAAACTCATTCTCGAGTTTTGATTTCAATTAGCATCCATTCTCCATCACAAATATATATTTTGCGTGTGGACCACCCCATTATGGACTTCTAATACTTTTGCACGGGTCATCCTATTCCGTGTTCCTAGCATTACTATATACTTTTATACAACTCATCTTGTTATGGGTTTTATCATCATGATTTTCAATAACAACAACATCTGACATAGGTAAAAAAACAACACATTATTTTTTGAACATATATTTTTTAAAGTCATCCCTTACATGAACACATCATCTTGTGCAATTTATTTTGGTTATGATTATTCAATATTATACAACGACTAACTATCAAAAATTGTTAATACATATCTTTTACTATCTTTAGCTAAATTCATGAAGAATTCTTAAGTTTTGATATCAAATGATATATCTAAAAGTGAAGAATAAAATATTTGTTATAAGTTAAACTCTTAAAAGACTATAAAATATAAAAATAAATAAAATTAATTTATTTTGATGAGGAATGTCACTCCAAAACATTTTCATAACATTTACAATAACAAACTAATTGTTACACGTTGAAAACAAAAGAGCTTTAAAAAAGAATGAACCTCTATATTATATTTTTCAATTTAGGTTTAACAAGATATTTGATATTGAAATTAATTTTTTATTAAAATTTAATTTTTTTATTTTAAATTAATGTTTTAAATTTTTTTGAATTGTTTTGATATAATGATATAAAAAATAAAATTTAAAAAATAAAATAAAAATATAATTTTAATACATTTAGAAAAAAACAATTATTTTTAAAAATAACATCTACTACAACATAAAAAAACCAATAAATTTCATAGGAATCCACTCCTCTTCCAATTATTAATCTCCTATTTTTAAGCGAGTGGATATGATGACAGTTATCATGCTTGGTGCAGCTCCATATTAATGAAAACCACCTGATGAGCCCACGTCCCGCAAGACGTCAGTGTCCTCGTGTGCCCCATCCCACTTGTGATCCCTCAGAAACTTCCGGGCAAATACACATACACATACGTTCGCTATCAGAGACCGACAAGTTCCGGATTCCTTATACGTGTATGGTCAAAGACACGACACCATTCATTATATGCAAATTACAAACTCCAGAAGGTCAACCCTGCAAAGGTAGAACTGTCATTCCACAACCTTTTATAAGGGTATTTAAGTAAAAAAAAACGGTTTCCATTTTCAAAATATTTGAACTGCCCGTAGTGGAGGAATTTAAAGGTAGAACTGTCATTCCACAACCTTTCATAAGGGTATTTAAGTGAAAACAAACGGTTTCCATTTTCAAAATATTTAAACTGCCCGTAGTGGAGGAATATTAAAAGCGAAGATCCCAAAATTCCAAAACCACCCACCATCCCTTTGATTCTTCAAAAGGAGGGAGAGAGAAAGAGACATAGCATGTAGTCCTCAAAATCAAGACTGGATTAAGAAGAAGAAGAGTCTTGATCACAATTGTGGAATGTCTGACTGGCTCACTCTTTTCCTATTCCTTTCTTTATTTGGTGTTTCCTCAGAGAACAAAGAATTTTTCTTTGTAGCCTTTGCTTTGTCTCCAAGCCAACTTTCTTGTATTTAACTTAGCATTCAAAGGTTCCAATTCTGCTTCTCCTCTTTATGCCTCAGTTTTTACTTGCACTATAAGTTTGGAAGATTTTGTTTTCTTTTGCTGTCCAAATGGATGTTTTGATCCACGGGTAAGATTTACAGTCTACATTTGATAACGATGATGGTGTTTCTTTTTCTTTTTTCTTTTTTTTTCTTTGTTGTAAGTTGTTTTGATTTTACGAGTCTTTCTGTTTATTTTGGTTTGTTGGGGGTACTGTAACTAGTTAACTACAACTCTTCTTTTGGTGGGTGTATGACAAGACAGTTATCAGAGGGATTTTCGTTTTGGGTGGTTGGGTTTGGTGTGCTGGAATTATGAACCTCCTGCTGCATATTTGAGTTATCATGCTTTGAGCTATCATGCTTATTGATTGTTCTTTTACCCCTCCTCTAGCATGAATTTTTAGTGGTTAGAGGGGGGAAAAAAAGTTTTCAAAGTGATTTTGGTTTGTTATACCTATGCTTTTAAATTAATGAAGTTGCATGCTTTATTCGTGTTTGCGGCTATATTCTGTTTATCTGTAGTTAGAAATAGTGAAATTCGTTTCTTTCTTTTTTTTTTTCCTAAACTGGCTATTGGATTTGACTATGTAATCAACTGTGTTGTAGGATTTTGAGGGAAGTTAGATAAAGATTTTTGGAATAAATTAAAGTTTTGGAGTTGAAATTGAATTCGATGGAGGAAAAACCATTCCCTGCATGGTCATGGTCTGTGGAGCAGTGTTTGAAAGAGTTCAATGTGAAGTTAGACAAGGGTCTGAGTTCTTATGAGGTTGAGAAGCGGCGAGAGAGGTATGGTTGGAATGAGCTTGCTAAAGAGAAGGGTAAGCCCTTGTGGTGGTTAGTATTAGAACAATTTGATGATATGCTTGTAAAGATACTCCTGGTTGCAGCTTTTATATCATTTATTCTAGCTTATTTACATGCGGGTGAGTCTGGGGAGGCTGGATTTGAAGCTTATGTGGAGCCACTTGTTATAGTTTTGATTTTAGCCCTTAATGCTATTGTGGGGGTGTGGCAAGAGACTAATGCCGAAAAGGCTCTTGAAGCCCTTAAGGAGATGCAATGTGAATCTGGAAAGGTTTTAAGGGATGGGTACATGATGCCGGACTTGCCAGCTCGAGAGCTTGTCCCTGGTGACATAGTGGAACTGCGGGTTGGAGATAAAGTGCCGGCTGACATGAGAGTGGCAGTTTTGAAGACATCGACTTTGAGAGTTGAGCAGAGCTCATTGACTGGAGAGGCGATGCCTGTTTTGAAAGGCACTGCTCCCATATTCATGGATGACTGTGAGTTGCAGGCTAAGGAAAATATGGTTTTTGCTGGCACAACTGTTGTTAATGGGAGCTGTATTTGCATTGCTATAAGCACTGGGATGAAAACTGAGATTGGAAAAATTCAGAAGCAAATACACGAGGCTTCTCTGGAAGGGAGTGATACTCCACTGAAGAAGAAGTTGGATGAATTTGGTGGCAGGCTTACAACTGCTATTGGGTTTGCTTGCCTCGTTGTATGGGTCATTAATTACAAAAATTTCCTCTCATGGGATATTGTGGATGGATGGCCTGCAAATATCAGATTTTCTTTTGAGAAATGCACCTATTATTTCAAGATAGCTGTTGCCTTAGCTGTAGCAGCAATTCCAGAAGGCCTCCCTGCTGTAATCACGACTTGCTTGGCTCTGGGTACCAGGAAAATGGCACAAAAGAATGCAATTGTGAGAAAGCTTCCAAGCGTGGAAACTTTAGGATGCACAACTGTGATTTGTTCAGATAAAACTGGGACTTTGACCACCAACCAGATGTCTGTAACAGAGTTCTTCACTATGGGTGGAAAAACTACTACTTCTCGAATTTTTCGTGTTGAAGGAACAACTTATGATCCTAAGGATGGTGGAATTGTTGACTGGACTTGCTATAATATGGATGCTAATTTGCAAGCCATGGCAGAGATATGTGCTGTCTGTAACGACGCTGGGATCTTTTGTGACGGTCGTCTTTTCAGGGCTACAGGTTTGCCTACTGAGGCCGCTCTAAAGGTTTTGGTTGAGAAGATGGGTGTCCCAGATGCCAAGGCAAGGGAAAAAATTCGGGATATGCAGATTGCTGCAAACTATTTGATTGATCGTAGCACAGTGAAATTAGGTAAGCAGAAACCTGAACATATTTATATGATGCAAGTCGTGCGACAGTTATGCAGTTTTCTGTCTTATTAACATTTGGTCACTGTAGGGAGCTGCGAGTGGTGGACAAAAAGATCGAAAAGGCTTGCCATATTGGAATTTGATCGCATTCGTAAGTCAATGAGCATTATTGTACGGGAGCCCAATGGACAAAATCGACTTCTTGTTAAGGTTTATTAATCTTCTTAGCTGATTTTGATGAAATTATGATCACTTCTCGGAGTTAGTGATTAACTTGTTGTCTCCGACATGTTATCTAAATAGTGATAGGAAATTGAAGTACTTATTTTAGTGCCTTTCGTTTCGTTACTGGGAAACTCAATTCACTTGAAACAGGAGTTAATCTACTAAAAACAGGTTCCTGATTGGTTAAGCTTGAAAACCTAATGGGCTTGAGAATTAATTATTAGCCAGCATGAAAAATGCAAATACAAATCCTGATCAATACTAGAAACTAAGGTTGCAATGCTTGTTGGTCGTGTTTCATTATTAAAGCTACTGGAGTGTGCAAGGCATCCCTAATTTTTTTTTTATCCATCTAAATTGGATTAATTTCTGGCTAACTGATGCATGGTTTAATGGTAGCCCAGTCAAGTTGAGGTTTCATTGAATTGACCAATCTTGAAGTAATTCTTCAGTTATATTGTTTTCCAATATATTATTTTAGTGCTTGATTTTAAACATGGTAATACTTGTTTTACTAATGATGAAATGCATCTGATTAACAGAAAAAAAAGAAAGAAAAAGAACAAGAAGAAACAAAATTGCATCTTAAGATTCTTAACTATTGATTGGAGAGATTTGCTGAATTTGACAGTGCCAATTTACAAAACATGTTTTTATCAATGTTTTTCCTGCCAGTGGTGTTTTTGGTCAATAGCTTGCTTCAATTACTGATTTCATCTACTGGTATTTGGAGATGAAACTAATTTTTGGGATCCGCAGGGAGCGGTCGAGAGTTTACTGGAGCGCAGTTCACATGTGCAGCTGGCAGATGGATCTGTTGTTCCAATAGATGAACCTTGTAGGCAGCTATTATCTCTGAGACTTTTGGAGATGAGCTCTAAGGGGTTGCGGTGCTTGGGACTGGCATATAAGGATGACCTGGGGGAATTTTCAGACTACCATGCTGAAAATCATCCAGCACACAAGAAGTTGCTCGATCCAGCTTACTACATGTCCATTGAAAGTGATTTGGTTTTTGTAGGAGTTGTTGGCCTAAGGGTGAGTATATGTTGCAATCGTTCTGTTTAACATCCATTATTGTAAGACCAGTAATGTAAAAATAATTTCAATATTGAACAGGACCCCCCACGTGAGGAAGTGCACAAAGCAATTGAGGATTGTAGAGGTGCTGGGATTACAGTTATGGTTATAACTGGAGATAACAAATCTACAGCTGAGGCTATTTGTAAGGAAATCAAGTTATTTGATGAAGGTGAAGGTCTCAGGGGAAGAAGTTTTACTGGCAAAGAGTTTACTGCTCTTTCCCCTTCAGAACAAATGGAAATTTTGTCCAAGCCTGGAGGGAAGGTCTTCTCACGAGCTGAGCCAAGACACAAGCAAGAAATTGTGAGGATGCTGAAGGATATGGGCGAGATTGTGGCAATGACTGGAGATGGTGTCAATGATGCACCTGCACTTAAACTCGCAGACATTGGAATTGCCATGGGAATAACGGGAACTGAGGTAAGTTGGTCAATCATTTATTGGGGGACATGGGGATGCATTTCTCACTTGTTGCCTTCATACTGCCCACCCCACTCTGGGGAATGCATGATGCAACATCAATGCTCCACTGCTGTTCGATTTCCATTCATTAAGCAAAGTTGTACTCTTTAATTACAGTTAACAAGTCAACTTTCATTTTTTTTTTTGTTTTTTGAACTGCGTAGGGAAAGATCTTTTGGCTAACAGTAACACCTGCCATTTTTACCAATACAGGTGGCGAAGGAAGCTTCTGATATGGTTTTGGCCGATGATAACTTTAGTTCCATTGTTTCAGCAGTTGCGGAGGGTCGCTCAATTTATAACAACATGAAAGCTTTTATCAGGTACATCTCTTTGTTGATCTTTTCCTTCCAAGTTCTGTTTTATGGAATCTGTATATATTCTTCAATCTGCAGGTACATGATATCATCTAATGTTGGAGAGGTGATATCCATTTTCTTAACTGCTGCTTTGGGTATACCAGAGTGTATGATACCAGTACAGCTTTTGTGGGTGAATTTGGTTACTGATGGCCCTCCTGCTACAGCTCTTGGTTTTAATCCTGCTGATGTTGATATAATGCGGAAACCACCCCGCAAATGCAATGATGCCCTCATAAATTCCTGGGTCCTCTTCCGCTACCTGGTAAATCATTTTCAGCACTCTAGTTCATTTTGATCTCATAAAAAGACTTTGACACTTGCTCTTTTATGTTCGTCCTTGTTTGAGGAAACAACATCAATTTCTTTCTTTACTCCACTTAGTGAAGAAAGTCTCACGTTTGTTTTCATTGAATAACACCATTTTAACATCTTTGCGATTCAGGTCATCGGTTCTTATGTAGGAATTGCAACTGTTGGAATCTTTGTTTTATGGTATACCCAGGCTTCTTTTCTGGGTATCAATCTCGTGAGCGATGGGCACACACTGGTTCAACTCTCCCAGCTTCGCAACTGGGGAGAGTGCCCCACATGGTCAAATTTCACCGTGACTCCATACCAGGTTGGTGGGGGACGCATGATCGCCTTTTCAAACCCTTGTGACTATTTCTCTGCTGGCAAAGTGAAGGCGATGACCCTGTCACTTTCTGTGTTGGTGGCGATTGAAATGTTCAATTCCCTAAATGCGCTTTCTGAAGACAATAGCTTGGTTACGATGCCACCTTGGAGGAACCCTTGGCTTTTAGTGGCCATGTCAGTCTCATTCGGATTGCATTGCGTTATACTGTATGTTCCGTTCCTGGCTGATGTGTTTGGAATCGTTCCATTGAGCCTGAAAGAATGGTTTCTAGTGATCTTGATTTCAGCGCCTGTAATTCTAATTGACGAGGCTCTTAAATTTGTTGGAAGGAGTGGAAGATATAGAGCTAAGAAAGAGAAGATAGCGTGAGTGACCACTATCAGTTTTCGAGGGGTGTCCTCGACAGTGGGGGGGTTGTGTTCATATTAAATTCTTTAAAACCTTTTTCTTTTTTTTTCTCTGAAATTATGAATTTCTCTTCCAGTTTAATGGAAGGCATCATAACCACTCTCATTTTTCTTCGTAACTAAAAGGAACAGTGACTGTGCTTGCGCAATGCAAGAGTAGTGAATCCGAGGAAACAAGTTTCTTCTTTCTGAGACATTTGCCGTTTTTATTGGTGTACGAATAAATCCAAGATGTTGTATATCGTCCCTATCATTATCCAATGTCTGTGAACATCTGGGTACGTTCACAGATAGGAAATGTCTCTATGAGGGTTAGTCTCTGCCTTATAGTCAAGGTTAATAAAGAGTGATTTTAGTTTTTTTATAAAATTAATTTATTTTCAATCTTATCCTTTAACTCTTATTTTTTTTTTTAAAAAAAATGGTCTTTATGCTTCTTTTTTTTTCACTTTTTTGTCTGTGCGGTTATTTAAATCCTATGCTTATAGTCACTAATTTACATGTTAATTTAGATTAACTTTAATTTATTTTCATTTTTTTTTTTAGTTTGATCATTCGATACTTTTATAAATACATGCCTAGAGTTGATGGTGAAAAACCAAATACAAATTGAGTAATTAAGCTTGTTCGTTTCCTCTAAAATATGTTGATATACAAATTGAATAATTAAGCATGTTCGTTTCCTCTAAAATATGTTGATCTAGAGTGTATATGACTGCCCATCTTGTGGTAATGCCATCTTGTGAAAAAATGTCATGACATATGCAAAATTCAATGTTTTCGATTTATAAGTGGATCCAAAACTTGGAAATTCATATCTTGATGCCACCAAAATCTTGTAATCTTCTATTCAAGACTTGAGTTTGTGAAGAAGAGTTTCGGATCTAGGTTCTCATCATTAAGACCAATAATATAAGATCGGGTCCTATCTGTTTGAACAATCGTTCCAAATGGTCGGCTGTATCCTTTTCACTTTAAGACTCAGGTAAGGTGCACTTGTTATGTTGAAGTGGTTTGTTCACAATGACCAACCTGGGACGCTGATGAAGAAGATATTGCTCTTGAATTCCTCTGAAAAGTCACATAAAAGAAGGTAAGACATAATTAATATGTTTTAGGTGTTCTGTACCATACGTGGGAATCGCTTCGTTACTCTGTTAAAGACTTTCAAGTAATGATGAATTGTGCATGTAAATCTCGAGCCAATACATTAATTTATTTCAATCAGTAACAATTGAACAATTTTGCTGAAACAAGTATGCATATGTATTTGCAATTCAACATGACAAAGACGGGAGACAGACGAAAAAAGAACACGAACATTGAAGAAAGACAGACAGGAATACTACACAAGAAGAACAGAGACACACACAAATAGGGGGGAAGAAAAACAGAGGAAAAGAACCTGAAAAAAAGGAAGGAGAGAGCACAATAGAGAGAGAGAGACGAAGACGAAGACGAAGAGAAAACCAAAGAACGGAAGGACCTTCGGGGCTTCCTTTCAGAAAACTAACAAAGGAATGCCTATTTTCCGTTAAACAGAAAATCACCGAACCAGACCAAAAGAGGAGAGAGAAAAAAAAAGCAGCAAAAGAGGAGAGAAAACCAGAGAAAAAAACAGAAGAGACGAAGAGAGAATTGACTGGAGAAACAGAAACAGAGAACGAAAGAAGAAAAGACGGAAAACAGAAAGGAAGTCAAAAACAAAAGCTTCGCCCAACAAGAAGCACCCGTGGATTCTCGTCCCTGCAAACCAAGTAAGCCGTTTTCGTTTCCTCATTGCATTTTTAATTACCTTCTTCCTGTAGCAAGCATGCCTCCTGCAAGTTAAAAAAGAGAGGGAGAGGAGCCGGGTTACTAGCGTAGAACATTAACCGGGCTGGGCTGGGCTAGATCCAGCTATACCCCTAAAAAATCACAAAACCCAGTTGTGGTTGGGATGGGCCTGGCCCTCAGGCCCAGCTGACCAGACAAGTTTTTTTTTTTATATATAAAAAATTATAGAAAAACTAGTGGACGCTTTTGAGTTTATTTGTGAGTTCTTTGTGTTTTTTTCAATGATTTGACTGTATATTTGATTTATAAATTTTATTGTGAAATGCAAAAATGACATGCAATACATGTCTTTTTTTTTTAAATATATATGTATGCTTTGCGTTCAATTTATTTTACCGGTTTATTCATTAGCATTGGAGTTATGAATACCATATTTTTTTGTGTTACGTAATATTTACCAATGCAAGAGTTAAAAGTATTTATAATTGAATATTCACTGGCACTAGAGTCAAGAATATTACAAGGAGATTATCATAACATCCAACAAACTCTTTGTAATTTAAAGCAAAACTAGTAATTTTTTTGTGTTACGTAATATTTACCAATGCAAGAGTTAAAAGTATTTATAATTGAATATTCACTGGCACTAGAGTCAAGAATATTACAAGGAGACTATCATAACATCCAACAAACTCTTTGTAATTTAAAGCAAAACTAGTAATGCAACTTGTCTTAGGTAGGACACTTAAAGAGTGATAATATCTTTTTTTTTGCATAATTAATCCCAAACCATAAAATATTTGTTAACCAATTAGGGTTCTTAATGACTATAATATTAGGTGAAAACTCTTTAAACAAAACCTTTTTCTATCTAAGAACAAGATATAATATCTATTCTTTTTTAATTTATTTTTTAAAAATCACCACAATATCAAATGCAACACGCTTTATGAAAAAAATGATAGGAAATATAATGACTCCAACACTAGACTATTTGTTTGGCATCAATAAGATATGACAAGATCCATTTCTATAATCACTCTATCTAGCATTGGAAACGAGAAGTCTTATATCTTGATACAGGGGCTTTTTGTAATTATTTAATCATCATTATGCTACTAAAAAATCAAGATAAAATTCATTTTTAGTAATTACTTGTCAAACGTAGAATAGTTTTGTGTGATTTCAAGGGAATAAACATTGAATTTCTTTATAAATAAGAAGACTAATCATGAAGTACATTCAAATGAGCAAGTATTCTAGCATAATTATGCTATTAAGTTTTATGACAATAATTATAATTCTTAATCCGAATATTGGATATGATTAAAAATTTACCTCCCAATATAATGTTCAATATTGGAGTACACTTTCATCTCAATCGGGATTTAAGAAGGTCTTGTAATATAAGTTAGAATAGGTTACATCAATTTTGTTATTTACTTTCTTTTGACTTGTGGACTTTATATTTAGAAAAAATCCCTTTCATACAAGAATGAAGAATTCAGAATAAAAAATTATTCATTAACTAAAAAAGAATAACCACTTAGAGTAACGAAACAAATTATATTTGTCGAGAAGTGCAAAATCGAATCTTATGATATGTTGGGAATCTCTTATGATAATCATCCACATCTGAAACGTATCTTAATGCCGGAAAGTTAGATAGGGTGGCCTTTACGTAAAGATTATATTTCAGTAGATATGCCTATGTATTATGTTTATAGGGTTATACTTTACTTTAACTTTCTTTTTTCTAGAATTTTAACTTTAACAGAAGAATTCATTTACTTGACTAATGCAACGCAGTCCTCGACGGTTATGCTATAATGCTATTAAAGCCTATATGCGATGTATAGACTCTCGCAACCATGACATATTTACTTGAGTATAACCATAATTTTTTCTAAAATAAAAATAAAAAGAAAGGAAATATGAGAATTTTTTAGTTTTACAAGTATCTTTAATGGACTGCAACATTATTTTCAAGTGTAGTAAGGATTTATTAATGTTTCAAAAAAATTTTTTATAAGAATTTCTTATTCACCCTAGGTACACATGGAAAAAAAAACCCATACCATATTTAATGTTAGATTGGTTAGCTTATTTTGAAAAGTTTTCTAATCTTATAAAGAAAGTTAAAGAAAGACAATAAATGTTTCCATGTTTTGAGATGATTCTTTAAAGCTATAATTAATTATTTACATATGCAAATATCTTGATTACGTGGTCAAATAACTCACAATGAAGATGATACAACTCTCGAAAAGTCAAGAAATCAGGTTTAATAGAAGTGTGATATAATAAAAAATTTTTTTTAAGGCGAAAAGTCAAGAAATCAGGTTTAATAGAAATGTGATATAATAAAAAAAAATTTTAAGACACCAACACTATTAAAATAAGAAACCCCTTCCCAACGAATATCAATTCGCAAATGAGAAGTATAAGGAGGACACAAGGTCAATTATACTTTAATAAGTCAATTTATTCTTTGTCCCAACAAAGAATATGCATTACTTAACATAAAATGTAAGTTTATTTTATAAATCCATGACTCTTGAAAATTTTAGCTTACAAAACCTTATGTAATAGCTCAACTAGCAATCCTAAAAAACCTAAAACTTATGAGCTAATATTTATTCACTTACAGTAAACCCAAAGTGTGTTAACTAAGCCCAAACAATGAAGAAAATAATAAAAATAACTAAGTTATCGTTAAATATCATCGATCATTTTTTTTATATATAGCTAAGATGAATAAAGAATTATCATAAAAAAATAATTTTAGAATATTAATAAATCATTACTATACCTGAAATTATATTGCGGTCCATTAAAGATTCTTGTAGAATTAAGAAATTCCTATAATAAACTATCACATCCTTGTATAAAAAAATCTTTGCCTAATATAAAGTTTACAAGTTAAAAAAAATAACAAAATTTGTATAATTTATTTTGACTTATATTACAAAACTTTTCTAAATTCTAATTTAATGATAAAATTAAAAATTATAATTATTGCTGTAAAATTGAACATCAGATATTATTATGCTAGAATTTAAAAAAAAATTCAACCGTTTCTTGGATGAATCACACTCTATCCAGCATTGTAAATGAGAAGTCTTACACCTGGCGATACTGGGGCTTCTTGCAACTGTTCACTCACCATGGCGCTGCCAAAGAATCAAGATGGGATGCATTTCTAGTAATTACTTGTCAAACCTGGAGCAGTTCTGTATGATTTCAAGGGAATAAACATTGAATTTCTTTAGAAGTAAGAGGACTGATCATGAAGTACATTCAAATGAGCAAGTATTCTGGCTGAAAGAGACTTCATGCTGCTGTTACCCCGCTGTGTCAGGTCAACCAAAGGCATTTGAGCAGAAGGCCCATACTTCTGTTTTAACTCGGGCAGCCGAAAGATCCTTTCTAAAGTGTTTAGGGCCTTTTCCTGCAGTATGGGGGAGGAAGAACTAAGAAATCCAACAATTGGTTGTATGGCATTTGCTTGTGCGAGCACCTTACCACCATTTTGAAGTTTAACACCTTCAATTAGAGTCAATAGGGCGTCTAAAGAAGCCTCACACGTTGCAGGATCTGGATCTCGAAGAACCCTCACAAGGGGTTCGACTGCACCAGCTTCCACAAGGCAAAATGATGATTCAACAGCACAGATTCCCCCATGAATCAGGCAGCCAGTTTCTGGTGGAACAGAGAAGCACCAGAATCCCTTGCGCTTGGGTATTGACCGGCTAAGCTCAAGTGAGCTCTCAGAGAAACGAGCCAGAGAAATTGCAGCACATTTCTTTGTCATGGTGGTTCCGAAGTCTAGCAGCTGCACTAGCACAGGAATTATCCCAGCTTCTGCAGCTTTCTTTTGCCATTCTGGATTTGTTGGAACAGTAAAACGACACATGGCTCCAGCAGCATTTTCGACTAAGTCATTTTTATGGGGATCATTCTGCTTGCTATCAGGGAGAATTCTGGAGATTACAGGAAGTGCCCCGGCATCCAGAAGCCACTGAGTGATCTGGGGCTTTTCTGGGAGGTTTGAGATAATGCCCATTGCAGAAGCAATCTCTTCTTCAAGATTAGAAGATTGGATAATCCGGAGCAAGGTCTCGAGGCATTTCTGACCCACATGCTCTAAGATGGTGCCTTCATCACCATCTTCTACCAAACAATATAACAGCTTCACAGCATTTACTCTTACATTAGGGTTGTCGTCGTGCTCACATAACTGGACCAATACTTGCATGGCTGAACACTGTTATCAAGACCAATTAGTGAAAATACGATGAAACCCTATTGAATAAAATGTTATGAAACTTAAATATGGAGGAGCAGAGTGGTGGGACAAGACAATTACAATAAAAAAAAAAAAGAAAAAGAAGAGAGGAATAAACATCAAAATCAACAAAACTAAGAAGCAATAAGAAACCCAGCATTCCACATTTCCCCAACGAATTAGCCCTCAGGGATGAGAAATAACTTCTCAGGTATTTGCAATTGGCAATTTGCCTGGTTTTTATACAGGTTTCATAAACAGTATATAATAATCATATGTTTGATCTGATCTGGTACTTTATTCTCTACAATTATAGTGAGTCTCTAGATCCCTTTCATCTTGTAAGAGGATTATTAGAAGATCGGAATCTTGATGACATTCTGAACTCTGGCACCATATAGCCAAATTTGTTAGTCTAGCCAATCTCTGGTCATATCATTGCATCTACATATCTAATCACATTTAGGCACCAACATTTCTTGTTTTCTTTGTAGGAGAAAATATCTATACTTTTATCCCAACCATTTTGGTATTAAATTTCTTGGGCGTCATACTGCATGTAATAGGGTGGCTTGTGCAAAAATAATCATGATATTACCAGAAAATGTAAGTAGCTAGTGTGCACAATAGCCACGGTCTACTTTTCTTTCCCTTGAATAGGCAGTAAATTTCTTACTAGAACTGGACATACACACAGACACAACCTCTTGTTACCTCTGTCAACTTGGTCTTGATATTTAATGCTGATGGGGACTGGCACAAGGCATGGAAAGCTCGAAGAATGTTTTGTTGCACATTAGACCCCGTCAAGTTTATCAAATAAAAGAGCCTGAAAGTATCATTATCAGATTCCAACAATGAAATCGGTGTTGGGCTGGATTCTTGAGACACTGTTGATAGAGCGAGGTGCATAATTGTGGCAGCCGCCAGCTCACATAAACTTGAGGATGAAGAGTTGTGCTGAAAGAGAAGGCCAAGTAATGGCTGCACTGCACCTTCTTTAATCATCTGCAGGCCATTTGCAGGTAAGCTTGATAGGTTCTGAAGAGCTTTGACTGCCACTTTTTTCACCTGAACATCACCGCATGATACCAAGTGAAGAAGTGGACCCAGAGCACCTCCTTCAAACAAAGATGCTTTGTTGTGGTCAGTCAACTCCAATTCTGCCAAAGTTGATGCCATCATCGTTTTCACTTCTTCTGATCCTGCATAAACATATAAACAAGTACTTCTGAAGTATGAATATGTCTCTCTTCAATCACTGCAAGGCTAGGACATAAACTATTATAATATAAATAATACAGTTAGCAGTCACTGGCAGAAACAATTTAAACTCCAGGCTAAATTGCTGAACTCACAACAAAACAATTTAGAGATGAATAGCAAGTTGGAGACCAGCATCCAGTATGCTGTGAATACGGCATGCCGCATGTTATTAGGATACCTGGAATTGTACAATTTGACACACAAAACACGTAAGGATTTTGGGGTTCCATGCAAGCGACAGCATAATTAGGCACAGTTTGACTCCATAATGTGACAGATTCTGCTCATTTGACAAGGGGCAGCAACTATTTCAGAAAGATTTTGCACCAAAAAAAATACAAAAAGAAGAAAATGTAAAGGGGAAAAATTGATGACAGCCAGAATCAAAATTCCATTAAGAAGCTTAAAATAGGTTGTCCTATGCAAGAAAATCACCTGTGGATATACGCTGTAGAAAATGTCTGAAATAATTTGCTTTAGTCATTTGTATGATGTTCTGATCAGAGAACGAAAGATTCTCCAATAGCTCTTGGGCATCTGTGGCAGCTTGACTGTCATCACTGCTTGCCATGGTCACTAAGAGGAGAATACAACCCTGAACCTTTCCAATGCAATCCCTTACCAAGTTACACTTTGACAACTCCAACAATAATGCCACGGCTAACTTCCTTTCCCCAATACGGCGTCCAAGTGATCGAACAATGGATTCGATTGCATTATCAACATCTGCAACTCTTTCCTGCGGCATGTTTCAGATTTTAGAAAAGAATTACTAATAACAAACGCAATCTTGATTTTACTTTATCTACCGAGTTAATATGTCAAATATAATTAAGCCAGTCAATATCGTGGATTATTTTATGAGTGTGATTTCAATATAAATCGAAATGGAGCTTCTTTTTGTTTAGTATCAATCAAGCATTGAAATTATCAAGAATAAATCAATTAACTAAATTCAAGAGAACAAGCAAATCAGCTGTCACAGCTCACATATACATAGATTTAGAGGATGTATCATTGATCCAAATTTAAAGTAAGAAAATGGCTCATGTGCCTGCATTGTATTTTCCTATTCATGCATACACATATTGTGCATGTGAATCCATGTTCTGTGTTCGCATTTGTTTGTGTCCAGAAGCCACATATTTTCAATATTTGTGAGCATAATTTATATTTGTTAGAAGAGAGGAGGCAGAGAAGGTAGACCAAATTAACGTGAGCTCAAGAGACGAAGAAAATCTCGCATCACAACGAAACTTTAGCCTCTAAAAAATGGATTGGAGGATGTGGATCCATGGAGCCAACCCCAGCTACTTTCATATAGAGGTTTGGTTATTTTGAGTTGAGGTGAGCTGAAATGCTTAGTAAAATGCAGTAGCAAATATGATTCCAAGTGTGTCAGAAATGGAAATTACAGAGAAAGAGAGAACACGCCATAATAGATCAAATAAATTTTGAAGTACCTTGGCATGATCACTGTCCTTTGCCAGAATCAAAAGGACAACAAGAGCACGATTTCTTATATCACGATTTTTTGCTCCAAGAAGCTGGATAAAAAGTGGTATATAATTCTCCAAGATCACCCATTCCCGATGCTGTTCTCTTTGTTCACAGAGATCCTCTAACTGTTCCAGACAACGAAGCACTTCTTCTTCTTCTTCTTCTTGATACACAAGTTTTGATTTCATGGAAGCAATTGTAATCATGGTGTTTCTATCCTTCCATTCTTCTATTGATTCCCTCAGGGTTTTGTTAGGCCTTAAAATTGACGTGTCTAGGCGGGTCATGGTCAAAGGACACATTTCATGCCCATCTGCTAGCCATTTTTCTATTGCACTTCTCTCAAATGTCTGTCCTGAAGAGGTCTCCACAGGGTCCACCATAACATCCCGAGTAATTGGGCAATAAAAGGACTGAAGAGGTTCCAATGACTGACTGCCCAAAGACTTCCGTTTGGTGGAATACTTTATCTCTTTCTCCTTAGAAGAAGAAGCAGCGTCTGCCCTTTCTAGCAAAGCAATTATCTGATCCATTTGTATAGCTTCAGCCTGGTCCTTCCTAAGCCGCGCATTTTCAATCTCACTCTTGAATTCTTCAAACTCTTTCTTCAAAGCAGACCTCTCTGTTGAGATCCCAACAGCCTCAGCTATGTGAGCCAGTATCTTGTTGGCATAAGAACGATCAACATTCCTCTCCTGTATTCCAGACTCAATTTTAGCCAAAATCTCTTCTTCTGCTATAGCAGCCTTGAACTCAGCTCTCTGCATACTATCATGAAGCTTTTCAATCTCTTCGATTAGACCAGTTGAAAGATCCAGATTGGCCAAAGGAAGAAGACCTAGGGCCCGGCTTATCTCTCTTGTGATGTCCTGTAGGCTCTTAGTTATTGTCCGGCAATTCATTAGGAGATACACTTTGTTTCTTTTGGTGCAATCAGCAGTCAGCTGCTTTGCAGCTTTGATTTCCTGATTGAGGATCCCAATGGCATTGTTTATGCTCCCAGAACAACCAATGTCTTTCTTATTCAGCTCTTTTATTACTGGTGCAATCCTTTCCAAGTAAACAGAAAGTTCCTTAAAACTGTCCTTCTTAATGAGCACATTGTTGGCAGCAGATACAACCTCCTTCATGCCCTCCACGATTTGCGAAAGGCACTCAGCAGCTGGAACAGAAGAGACACTAGTAACCATATCTAATGCCATCATGTATTACTCCTACAAAAGCTAAGAATCAAAACCCTCTATTCCCATGAGGTCAAAAACACGGTGCAAGCCAACCATCCAGACGTTTCGATCCAGATCAGGTTTCATAAAATGCCTGCATTTAGTTCAGATCAGCCAGAACTTCTTGCTTTTGATTTTTTGGCCCATGTTGACAAGAACAAAGAGGAAACAAAATATTCAAAGGAATTAAAGTCATAGCCTCCACTTGGTTGCTAAGCACACAAAAGAAAACAAATGCAGAAAAAGATTTAAATCATATGACTATAATCTACCTGGTTGGAAGACAGAATAAATTATAGTTTTCATATCATTTGCAATCTCTTTAAGCCTACACATAAAGTGCTTAAATCCATTATTAAGCTTTGCTTAGACAAGTTCTTTGTTCAAAAATCATCTCAAATGGTGTTTGTTTCTTTTTTTCTCAAATCTCTTTAAGCCTCCACGTAAAGTGCTCGAATTCACACAGCTGAGCCTCCATAGCAGAAAAGTCCAAGTTTCCACCATAATTCCTGTTCTTTTCCCACATTAGTTGATAAACCAAACATAAATATTCCAGTGAAATAGTATCAAAAACAACAAATTTATGAAGTTCAGGCATATAGCCTTGGAGCATGAACATGAGTTCAATTTCAATCAAAATTCAACAACAGGAGATAAAAGAAAGGTTTAGCTATTCTTTTCTATATTCAATTCAAAGCAGAAAATGCCATTGAAATAAACATAGTCAACTGGAGAAAAAGAAACGTTAAATTTGATTCAGAGTCCAACTAAAATTATCTTTGCAGCAGAGAGAGAAGAACCTATTTAGCCAGTAAATGCCATGAAAGTTCACTGAAGAACAGCTTCTTTGCTCTCTCTTCCTGGAAAATGAGCAGAGATTTTGCGATAATGCATGAAATCGACCCTAAAGACCCAGGAAAAAAAAGAGCAAAAAAGGAAGCATATATTAATGAAAGAAAGTAAAATAAACAAGGTAGAAGTAGAAGACGGTTTTGGAAAGGCTAAAGATACATACAAACGCCAAGGCAATGTCAGACATAGACGAAGACCCTGTCTTTCATTCTTTGCTCTGTTTCGTTCTTTCTGCTTGGTTGTTGACTTTTCGTTCTTTCTGCTTGGTTGTTGCCTTCTCAACGGTTTATAGTTGCAAATGGCAACTCGTCTACTATGTGATCAAAATGTATGATGAAAATTCCTCATTTACAGCATTGTATTTAGAGATATTACTCGATTAATGATCCTGTCATTTTCTTGAGGCCTGCTCGTGCAGATTTATTTTTAAAAAAATTATTTATGGCTTGTCTTTTTATCAATATGTAAAGAGTTGATTCCTTGCAGTAGAATTAAGTCGGACTAAGAAATTAACCATTTAGCAGGTACAATAATAATAACTTAGTATAACAAGGTTTGTTTTTAAAAGGGTTTGTTCCTGTAATTTTAAGTTTGAGTTCTCTGATTATTAATAAAATAATCACGGTATGTTTATATAATTATTAATTTTGAGACTTGTGGAATTAATCAATATATTACGGTCCAAATACTTTTATTAATAAAAAAAAAAGAAAATTGGAGTAAGAAATGTTGTCAATTAAATTTAACATTTCGGTATATAAGCCATGATGATGTTGCTGAGTCAAGTCCAGATATCGTATGGATGAGAAATGCCTGTGGAGCTGATGTTGATTTGGAGAGACTCTCTCTCTCTCTCTAGCCAGTTGAAGAGTGGTACAGGAGAGGAGTGCTCTCTAAAGACAGGGAAGTAGCTATTTAACCCGTAATTTAAAAGAAAACTCGGAGTCCGTAGGTTATTTTGTAATAAATATTAAAGTATAAATTAAAAAATTTATATAAATATTTAATTCAATAAATTGAAAGTAGGTTATTTTGTAATAAATATTAAAGTATAAATTAAAAAATTTATATAAATATTTAATTCAATAAATTGAAAATCATTTATGTAAATAAATAAAAAAATCATTAATAATAATAAAAAATAATTAAAAAAATTAAGAGATAGATATAAACTGAAATATTTAATCTTTAAAATAAGATATTTACTAGATTATGTCTATTGAATTTACTTATTAAAATCAATAAAAGATAATAACAACATAAATAAATACGGAAATTGAAAACATTAAGCAAAACCAAACATGTAAGAAATATTATTTAAGAATAAATATTTTTTATAAAATAAAGTTCACTTGTTTAAAATAAAAAGAATTATTCAAAAATTAAATACAAAAAAAGTCATTTAAAAAAAATTATTCAAAAAAGTCAGCAAAACTCAAGGCCTAAGCTATGAGATCATAATAAATCGATAAAGAAGAAATTGAAGATAATTAAAAAACTATTTAAAAAAAGTAATGTTAAATATTAAAATTATAAAATAAATTGAGAAAAATAGATCCCAAACCACGTGAATTTGTCAAACCGTTACTTATATCAATAGATTGGAAGCATCACCAATGAAAAAGCTTTGAAGTCCATTCCCTATAAAATTAAAGGCTAAGGATGAAACATGAGAAATTGTGATTTAAAAAATAAAAGAGAAAATTGAAATAAAAAAATAAATTAGAGGGTATAAAAAAATTAGATTGGAGGGTTAATTTAAAAACAGTTATACCTTAACATAAGGAAAAATAAATAAAAAAAATAAGGGTTAAATTGAAAATAATAAAAAAATATAAATTTTGATTGAATGTTGAAATTAAAAACCAGCAAATCTTAAAAAAAAAACTAAGGAAAACTAGAAATCAAAAGAATTAGGATTGAATCGGAAAAAATAATATATGAAAAATTATAATTCAAGGACTAAATTGAAGAAAAACTAGAACTTTTATAATAAGACCAAGGACACCAATAAACAATAAAAAAAAAAAACTGAAATTGACAAGGACACCAATAAACAATAAAAAAAAACTGAAATTAACAAATATAAAAGAAAAGGAAGAATGTGCATTTTTTTTGAAAAAAATGACCTTTAACAAGAAACTAATTATAATATATTAACACATGCCGTCTTATAAAGAAGAAAATACAATAGTGCATTCAATAACATGATAAAATTACATGTTTGGTCACTAGATCAGTCTGCACACATTACCCAAACACCATAAGCAATACATACTCATTAGAGCATGAATGTGATGTGTTTAATATCTTTTTCAAATAAAATAATAGTTTTATAATATAGAAATATTAGAATGCCCTTCGTGAACCAGAGAATCACAAAAAAAATCACATGTGAAGTACACAAATGCCCCTAAACACATGTTTTAATTTTTTTTTAAAGGTAAAATAGTATTTTTATTGTATTTTAAAGTGCAAAAAAACCCTCATCAACATCTCATTTTTTTCACTTAAAGAGTAAATAAACATTTTAATTATTTTAATGTTTTTAAAAGGATTTAAAAACACTTGGACAACAACTCGATAGATTATTAAATCAAGAATAAAATTGCATTTGTATTGTGCAAAAAAAAAAATACTAACGTATCTCTAAATAACCTTTTAATAAATAATGGACCAATTGTAAAGAGTAAAACACCCCCAATACTATTATATTTTTTTTCAACTAAGGGGAAAAAAAGTAATTTTATTATAATAATCTACAGTATATTTTGTCTATTATTAAAATGAAAACCCCCCACTATTTAGAGTTTTTGTTAATGTTGTTCATTTTTCTATAAAACAGCTAAATAGAGAGCCACTAATTATAATAGCTAAGGTTTGGGTTCCTAACAAGAATATGAATGCTCTAAAATGCAGGTTTGAGATAGCTTGAAGGAAGGAAAGCTAATTTCTTAAGGATTTTGGAAATGATGTTTTAATAATTTTTTTATTTATTTTTTTTATTGTTAAGATATGTTGATATTAAAATAATTTTTAAAAAATTAAAAATATATTATTTTAATATATTTTTAATAAAAAAAATTTAAAAACAACTGTTACTGTATTATAAAAAAGCCTCTATTTTTCACAGAAAAATAATTATTATATTAAAAAACCAACAAAATAATATTATTAAAATCTTTAACTTGATTGGTTGGAGGACTTGTAAATTATAAACAAGTTTATAGAAAATAATTTCTAATAAATATATCAATTCAAAGATAGATAATCTTTTTAAGACTCTGATTATAAAACACTTAAAACACATAATAATATCAATTGAGATATTCTTAACATTAGAAGAAAAAAAAAGAAAGAGATGCTCAGTTAAATTGCACCCTTGAAATAATATAATTTTAAATTTTCTTAACATTAGATTGTTATCTTCGTGACAATGACATTATTTTCTTAGATTGACTCCGAAATCATATGAAGTTCAATTGCTTATCATAAGTGAATGAGTCTTCCATTTGAAAAATAACAAACCGTGTTGACATGGAAAATAATTAACAAATGTATGGTCTCTTGGGCATCCTGAACGCTCAGCGACACTGGAGAGCTGCGCACCTTAGTTCCACCAATGAATTGACCATTCAATTACGAAGAAAGAACCATGGCTTATTTATATAGATTTAATGTACTTGGGTTTAGTCATGAGATGAACTGGTTGACTCCTTACAATAAATATAGGAAATAATTAATTAACTTTTAAAATTAAAAAGACTATTTAATTCATTTGGTAAAAATAAAAGGATTAATTTATACTGTACTCTCTGTACTTCTTTGAAGAATCCCCAGCAGGACCTCTGCCATCGCATATCAAGATAATAGAGGCGTGCTCCTTGAAGGCTGGGGAAGGAAAAAACAAGCTTGTGGCTACTTGGTAATGGCCATTAAAAGGAGTATGTTAAAACTTGTTGACACAAACAATGATTTTTCTAAAAACATTTCCCAGCCTAACTGTGAATAATCTGCAAGAGACATGATGAGTAGAGAATATGGTGATAATATCATTAAGCATGTAAAGACCACAGATTAAAAAACTTAATGAGCATTGTGATAAATGGAGTTCCCAAATGTAAACTGCTTAATCCATCTCCAATTCATTTATCACCATATTCGAAAAAAATTGAGAAAAGCCCATTTTACATGACGAAAAAATTGTGCTATCTTTTTCTAATGAATACAGGGACTAGAAATGTTCTATCCACGTACTTAAATATTTATAAAATAAATAATAATTTGATAGAATTATCTAGAAAATATAAATATTACTTCCTTGGTATAATTTAGAATATGAAAGATGTTCTAGAAATTCAATATATCTAGAAATTCAATATATTTATCATATTATTTGGTGCTTAAATTATGGTCAATCAAATATTCATGTCTTTATTTTCTATTCCTAAGCACATGAAGTGCAAAGATTGATTAGAACAAGATGTGATTTTTGGTGGGATTTAAAGAACTTTTAATAATAAAATCGGTAACTTTAAATGAAAATAATGATAAATAAAAAAAGAATTTTTTAATTCTAAAAACAATAGTGTTTTTTCTTTGTATTTTGTGATTAATACTCAAAGTATAAGCTTTTAAAGTAAAAAAAAAATATGAACTATTTATCTAGATGATTCATGAAATATTTTATTAATCACAAAATATAAGATTAAAAAATCGTTTTCTTTTAATAATATTAATAAAAAATAAAAATCTTAATAAAAGACAAATATCAACTTTATATTATATTATTAAGAAGATAAAAAATATAATAAACAATTTGAGAGATTTACACTTCTATTGATAGAGGAAGATGATTGTTTCTAATATTCAGATAAATAATTTGAAAATAAAATCTTATGATCTTAATAAAGTTCTTCAAGTTTAATTAGGTTTGGTTTATATTCAAAGCTAAAGAAAATGAGTTTGGCTACTCATCATAACCTTGATGCCCAAAATCATCTCAGAGCTGAATCCAACCGTATTGAATTTGGTATTCCACTCTTTCTCCATTAAAAACACAAACCTTTTTACAATGATTCAGCTTGACAGGCTGAAAAAAAAAAAAATGCTTGTCCATCCATTACTACTAAGAGTCTCTTGTTCTGACAATGCAAAACCAAATTTCTGCATTTTTGCTTTATAAATAATCATTCTGTTCATGCTCTTCCTAATTCCCTTACATGATGACATCAATGTTAAGCTCCTACATCAATATTTAGGACAGAACTATCAAGATATGAAGGTCAGTCTAAAGCATAAACACAATTCACCAAAAAGAGGACAAAAGTAATCATGATTGAAGGATTATTATATAAAGAATAGACAACAATTACGGCTATTTATGGCATTTCAATATTCTTCGATCATCAGGTAACTAATTAAGTGGAGCCCTTCAGCCATCAGTGGCTTATCCCATTATCCAGGAGAATAAAAACAAAAATCAGCTACGAATTTAGGCAAATCAACACAGGCCCGAAATATAATCCAAGGTTGATGTTTTAGTTTAATCTGTCAAGCTCACGAGAGTACACATTTCAACATCGCAGGCTTTAGCAATAGGTGCTGGGTAGCACGAGCTACTCCAAGCGACAAGATGTATGTCGAAGGAGCTGAGCTTTATCCAGTTCAGATATATCCAATTGTCACAAGGATCGACCATAACTAATTTACAATAAAAAAAATGTGCAATTTTTTACATCAAATTGAACTTAAACAACAAATGCTGGCAACCTCTCATCAAAGAAATTTTTTACCTTAACATTCACAGCCCCGGTAAGATTCTGCACAGTCTTGGCAATCCAAAACAACTGATCTTCCTTCATCTTTTTAGGAGACGGAACCAAAACCACTCTTGTCCCACTCATCTCATCACATATCCTCTCGAACTCCATCAAAACATCACTCACGATCATCACCTTATTTCTATCAATCAACATCTTCACCAAACCTACCAAATATTTGTTGAATTTACCTCTCTTTGCCACTTCCTTCACTACTTGTCCCTTCTCTTTGTCACCCACGAACGGGCTACCCAGAACAGCTTGAATTTGCTCATTTTGAAGCAGCTTCAATAATTTCAGCACATCATTTTGGACAATGTCAAGGGAACTCTTGCACCGAGCTATGTCTACAAGTGCGGCGGCATAGCCACTGACAGGGTTTCTGTGGATATGTGGAGATGAGTTATGAGATGAGCTTTGAGAGATGTTAGAAAAGAGTGGAGGGTTAAGATTCTTAAAAGATAAGGTTTTAGTCTTAGATGGGGTTCCGTTAGAGATTGAAGAGGTGGGTTTAGTTGTAAGATTAGGAGGGAGTTGATGAGATACGTGAGGAGTCCTTAAATTTTGCAATTCAGGAAGTGTTGACGGAAAGGCAGGGACTTTGAGGGCTGACATGGAACTTGAGATGGTATCCATGGCGAGAGTGGAAATTTTGAATAGTGCTTTTGGGGATGCTTCCAATTTGGTTTTAGGACGAGGGATGACGATAAGATTTATGCCACTAGTCAAGCAAGAGCCACAAATTGTGTGTTCCCTTTCTCTTCCTTGAGCAAAATATAAAATAATAATAACAATAATAATAATTAGGATTGAATTAGAGATTGATTCATTCATGGACTCACAACTTGAATGTTTAGGACACCCAACATCACCAGCCTGGTTCGGTGGATCAAGCTTGTTTCATATAAATGTTACCAACCTTAGTGGGCTTCACCGCATTAATTTCCCCTAAGGGTTTATTTTGATGCAAAAGCAGTGTGCACCCAGAACACAGTGCAACATGAACGAAAAACAGCCGCGAGCCTACAACCTTTTTTCTGTCGTTGGGTCTACAAATGGACAAGAGATATTTCATGGCCCATATATATTATAAAATGACAAATTTGTACTTGGATGTAGGCCTACAAGAACCTGGCCCGTCACGACAGTCGGATTGTACTTCAAATCTCCGGTGAGAGATCCCCTGGCCCATTAAGATATATTCCAGCGCAAGGCGATTTGATTCAAGTTGAAGAACAATCGTTATTTACGTGCGAAGCTAAGATCAGAGTGCAGCGTTCCTGGCCGCAATTGTCGATGGCCCCATTCCTGCTTTTTGACCTTTTCAAGTGTTAAAAATGTTCTTGTTTATGATTAGCTGTTTGCTTTTTGCAGCATAATGATGTTGGGTGAGTTCATTTCATCATTTAAAACCAGATGTGTAGTTTTACCGGGAAAATAAATGTTTCCTTTGGGCTGTGAATCCTTTTCGAAATTGAATTGAAAAATCGCCCAGATTTTCGAAAGAGAAAGGAAAAGAAGAAAACTTATTTCTAGTATCTTGCGAACCAGAATAGGAGTGAATTGTTAAACCCGTCCATCTCTTTCTTCTTTCACGATTCCATTTATGTGCTAATTAATTTTTATTCTAATAGGAGTGAATTGTTAAACCCGTCCATAATGTTATGTGCTAATTATTTTTATTGTTATTTAGAAAATGAGAAAAATTCACGAATCATAATGTTACTTAATTACAAGCAAATTTTTTAATTACAAATGGCATTTCTAGAAAAAAACTAATTGTTAGATTAAGTACTAAATTACAAAGAAAGGGCTCAAATGACTGGTTTCATTAGACTAATATAAAAAGCTTACATGTTCGGTCAAGAACACTAATTGAGCACAAACGACAAGCAGCTGGCTAGTTTCCCCCATGAATTTCCAGCCTGAGTATTCAGGTACAGACATCACAGGAGTACTTTAGTTTCCTTGAAATGTGTTGCAGGGTTTACCAGTTCTTAGGATTGTCACTGTCCCCAAAAATTCTGTCGGTGCAAAACAATTAGGAGCTCGTTTCGATTTTATTGCGATCAAGCAAGCTTTCTTCGAAGTTTCCTGTGTATTTATGGGGTCACTGTAATAAAACTAGGAACGTCCTTTTTTATGGATGCATGAGAGACATGCGAGCTGGCGGGACATCGATCCCCCATGTGGAACAAAAAAGCTTCAAATTAATTTTATAGGTATTTCAAAAAAAAAAGGTCTATTATTATTTTTGCACATAATGATCAATTAAAAAAAAATTATGTTCTAGCTCCTTGAATTTATTTTTGTATCCGTCTTTTGATGTTATTTACGATTTTATTTTTATTATTTTTTAAGTATCTATGTTTTCCTTCTCTGCCGGCAAACAAAGTTTTATCCCTATGCAGTTAAATGGATTTATTTTTATTTAGGTAAATTTATGACTTAAATTATAAGATTATGATAATTATATAGATAATAAAATAAATTAAAAAATAAAATAATACATGATTTTTAAGCAATCCAATATTAAATGATAGAATTAAAATTAAAAATATTTAATTAAAAAAGTATAAAAAAACCCATATTAATTTATCATTCAAGTCATTCACCTTATTAGATTTAATAAATTTTTTATAAAATTATTTTTTATTTTATTATATAGCAACAACGCATGAGACCTTTCTTATATCAAATTAAAAATCTTTTCTTAAAAATACAAACAGTTCAGGTTTTACTATATATATATAAACACACACACATAGTAAAACCTGTAAACAAACTTAGTTTTTTTTTTTTTTTAATGTCGCCGGGTTAACGTCACTGGGGAGATTGAGTGTCCATAAATGAATGATGATTTGGGAGTTTTCTGACATTTGAGAAAAGAAAAATTACGTGTACATCGTTTAGACTATCTGTCGTCTACCTTACTGTAAATGAATTTTAGTTAGGAGGCGCGCATTTAATTGAAAGAAGATGTCATTCGATGGGACCGAAGTTCCGCAAGCTTTGACATATTAAATTGCAGCATCGAGGGGTGGTTTCCAGCCCATCTTTCCATTCCGATGTGTACATGTATGTATGCATGTATGTATGCATGAATGACTGCCAAATCCAAGCTGTGATACACAGCTACCGTGCTAGAACCAGTACTCTATTATTATTCTCACTTTTCTAGGGAGCCTCAAATTAAAATAAACAAAAGCTGAAGCTCAATCCCGAGTCTGTGCCAGGAAATGAGACCATATAAGCTGCCTGGACAAATAATTACGTTCACTAATCCCAACTCGCACTCTTATCTGTCTGTGTGGATTTAAAGCCTGTGGTCATGCTGTAATTATAGAGTTTTCTTTTCTTAACCAACTCATGCCAAAAAAAAATATTTAATAAACTATTGTAATTTAAAAATATGGGGCTTAATCTGGTTTTTGAGTGATTTTAGAGGCCAGACACATACTAAAAAAACATGGTTTTTGAGTGATTTTAGAGGCCAAAAATCGCATGTCATCTAGTTAAGTTTGTGTTGTATTGTATTGAACATGTGGACTAAACTGTCTCAGAAAAAATCACCATGGTGTGGTGTCAGATGTCTCCTGTTACTGTTAAAAAGAGAGAGAGAGAGAGAGAGAGAGATTTAAAGAGGCAGTAATTAATAAGTCTACAATGGCTAATGCCAAATAATTTCTCTGGCGTGTTATATGAATAAATAATGCATGGTGCGCATCCAGCTACAGAGAATTAAAAGAGAGACAGACTGGACCATAGTTCACAACTCCTCCTTTCACTACATTAGTGAGGGATTACGAACCCTTGAGAACATCGGTCTTGTCTGGTCCTCTCTTTCCTTTACTTACTCCATTCACCACCAGGACTAGGTCCCAAGACCAATAACAAAGTTTGAAGGGTTTCATATTATATTTCACATAGCAGCTGAGCAACAAAGTCAAGATAAAGTCCCATTCTTTTTCCTTGCCCCAGGTTAATTTGTTTGAGGGGTGATAAAAAATGAACCAAGAGATGAATGGTGTTGATACCGAGATTGATCAGAACCACCAAGAGACTGTGCAAGAGAAAATCGATTATGTGTTTAAGGTGGTGGTGATCGGTGACTCTGCAGTAGGCAAGACGCAAGTTCTTTCCAGGTTTACTAAGAATGAATTCTGCTTTGATTCAAAGTCTACCATCGGTGTCGAGTTCCAGACTAGGACTGTCATCATTAAAGACAAGGTCATCAAGGCTCAGATCTGGGATACTGCTGGCCAAGAAAGGTTGGGGTCCTCTCTCTCTCGCTCTTTTCTCATACCCACATCAAACACGTACCTTTTTGCTTGACCCTTTCGGCCCGACTAGAATAAATATACATGTAATTGTTTTTAAAACTATAATGTATAGCTACTTGCCTGCTTATCAGAAGATGAAAACCCTAATTGATGTTCAGAGTTTTTCAATTGTTACGAACGAGATGATCCTTTTTCTTAAGAAAAACATGCTGATCAAAGAAATGTTCTTAGAATTAATATATATAATAATTGTGGAAATGTGTGCCTTGAATGCAATATTTGGATCCATTCCATATTGGCTCGTAAATAGCACTGAAATGCCGATGCTACTGTCAATACGTATTCCGTAGTTGCAGTAAAATTCTGATATATCAAATCCAATTTATTGAAAGAAATTAAAAAAAAAAAAAAAAAAAAAAAACAAAATTCTGCAGGTACCGGGCAGTGACAAGCGCATACTATAGAGGGGCATTGGGGGCTATGTTAGTCTACGACGTTACCAAGAGACCAACGTTTGATCACGTGGCTAGGTGGGTGGAGGAGCTCCGAGCCCATGCTGACAACTCAATTGTGATCATGCTGATTGGAAACAAGGCTGATCTTGCGGACCTCAGGGCAGTTCCAACAGAAGACGCGGTGGAATTTGCAGAGGATCAAGGCCTTTTTTTTTCTGAGACATCAGCCCTTAGTGGTGACAATGTGGACGGTGCATTTTTCAGGCTGCTAGAAGAAATTTACGGTGTGATTTGTAAGAAGTCATTGGAATGTGCCACTGGAAATCCCCATGCTGCTGATGCCATAACGCTTAGAGGTTCTAAGATTGATGGCATATCAGGGACCGATCTGGAGATTAGTGAGATGAAGAAATTATCTGCTTGCTCGTGTTGATTTGATCATTTTTCTAGTGAATTGTGTACTACAAGACTTTACCACTCCAAGTTCTTGATTGATTCTGTGGCTTTCGGAAAGTGATCGGTAGTGTGGTAAGGGTGGCAAGTGTTTTCTTTTCTGTGACCTGTCAAGATTTTCGCGGTATTGTACTTGTCTTACAGAACCCAGGAATTTGGTTTTTTATATGTATTGATTGGGATGGATGGTTTTCCTTTTCCTTCATTCGTTGTAATCCTGGATTCATTGTGAAAATCACCTCTAAACAAGTGAAATGAGGGTTCTTTGTGAAGATAAAAAAAGTTTTTCTATTACTTTTTTTTTTCTTCGGTCAAACTGAAATACATCAATGATTTAATGATTGTGTATTGGCTCGTTGGTAATTAACAAATGCTTGTAGCGTTTTTTTATGTTCATAAAATTATTATTCATACTTTCACAAACCATAACTGCAATAATTATTTTTTAAAAAAAATCTCAGTTTAATTTTAAATTTTTTCTTTCCACAATTGAGTTTTTTTGAGCAAAAATTAATATTTAATTGCATATTTTTTAAGTTGAAGGTCTAAATTAAAAGATAGGGACTGAAATGGAAAATACAGATAACATAGATGGTACTTTCAAATTTGTTATAATTTATATTTAAGTCCTCTAATTTTTTTCTATAAGATAATTGATCCCTTTAATTTTTAAAAAATAAATTTTGATAATAAATTTTATTTTTTTTATTTTCAATTTTTTTTTCATGAGAAAATTTTGGTGCTAATGATATCCGGCAAATTTTACAACCAAATGGGTTAAAATTGATGCTAACGATATCACCAAGTAATGAGGATATCCGGCAAATTTTACAACCAAATGGTTGTTTTAAGTTTCAGTGTAACTTAAAAAAACAAATCTAAGTTAAGGATGCACTATTTCTTTCCATCTTGATTTAGTGATTTGGATTGTTGTTTGTGTTTAATGGGTTGGTATGTTGGTATTTTTAGTATTCTAAAGGTATTTTATGGCTAAAAATAATTGAAAAAATAATTTTTTTAAATAAAAATTCTAGAGGTAACTTGATTATCGAATTTCTCTTATTTTTTAAAAAACATAATCATTGTTAAAACAAACCTAGTTTAGATCATGGTGTTGTGCTAGTCATCAATTTAATTAACAAAAACTAAAGCTTATGGAAAAAATATTATTTTTTAGAAGGTTAATATAATTCATATATAATTTTTTCATATATTTGATGTAGATTACATAGTTATTTTTATACTATTTTCAATATGTGCCACCTTGTAAAATATATTTTTTTCATTTTATCTTATTTGTTAACTTGTGTGTGTGTGTGTGTGTGGATTTATATTGCAAATTAATTTTAATAAACAAATTTAATGAGCACAACCAAGTAAATAACTCGTGTAATTTAATGAGCACAACCAAGTAAATAACCTGTGTTATGATATTAAATATCTTGATATATATTTGTCTCTTAATTGTTTTAATTATGTTTTTATTTATCTTTAATGATTTTTTTCATTTGTGTATACAATGGTTTGTAATTTATTTAATTAGATAGGTGCGTAGGTTTTTTTATTTACACTTATGATTTTTGTAGTAAAAAAACATGTTGAAAAAATTTACATGTTCAATGTTTTATTATATATTGGTCTTTTCAATTTAATTCTTATTTTTATGTTTTTTTTTTCAATTTCACTCTTCAATCCAAGTTGATAGTATTTTTTATTCCCCTCTCATTTTGGTTATTTTTTTCCCCTAAATCTTCATTTTTTTTATTAATTCCTTTCATAGTTTGGGTTTTTTAAAATAATTTTTAAATTTACGCTTTTATTAATACCTCTTATATGTTATTTAGTTTTGGTTTTTTTAATTTTTTAATTATACTGGGTGTGTTTAATTTTTTAAGAGGTTAATACAATTCATCCATATTTTATTATATTTTATATAGAATAAATATTTGTTTTTTATTATATTTTTAATATGCGTAGCTTTACATGATATTTTCTTTTAATTTAATTCAATAAATTTTATATATGTATCTATTTTTATTACAAGTTGATTTTGATCAACATACTTATTAAACATAATGAAAGAAATAATTTATTTTAAATTTTATTTTTTTCTTTTGAATAAAGGGTTTTTTTCATATTATTATGATCGCTTTATATATGTATATTGCATTTTTTTAATATAATTCAAATAAATCCAACTTATTTAATTAATCAGGATTATAATCCAAGTTATTAAAAAAATTATATATAAAATATACTTATCATCATGAAACTTATAATTTTACCCCCTCCATCATCTTTAACCGTCAAACTATTACCAGAAATGTTACTTTTTTTTTTTAGATTAACGTGGGTGTCCGGGCCAGCTTGCGCGCACCACGACTAATTCCAC